GACTATTTTGAGATCAAATTTAACATGTTTAATGAGTTTTATTTTCAAGTATGTGCCAAAGAAGAAACAAAAAATATACTAGTAAGTTGGAGATTAATCAGACTTCGTTTATATTGGACATATCTTGAGAACGAATAAAGATGAAGAATTATGAGGGGGTTGAGTGGGGAGGGGCGAGTTGAAGATTGAGAAGGGAAACATTTTTTGTTTTTTGTTTTGTTTACTTTGTACTAAAAATGTAAGTACATCTCTCTTCGATTAATCAATCATCTTCTGAACATATCTTGCGGGAAAGAAAAGCAAATAATCTATACGCAATAACCCTTTCATTTATGATTTGTCATACACCGATTTAAAAGTACATCAAACGGATCTAAAACTGTAGGTGATGTGGGTTAAACGCCAACAAGACGGCAATCAAAGGACGAAAACCACCTCAGCACATGACGTCATCAATTCATTAACGTTTTGGAAATATTCGGCCGATATTCAATCCACGGCTCCTAGGAACGTTTTCTTGTAAGGTAAAGAAAGGGGGGAAAATACGCATGTAAGTAGTAAAAGGTTTTTGATAGTCAGGCTTTCTCCTTAATTGTTACAGTATTTGGAGAATCTAAGTTATATCTATGAACGTCCTTTCTCTTAGTGTCATACTTTAACTCCGATAGTCTTTTGTTTTAACTGTGAACAAAGGTATTGGCCATTTTTTTGAGTACCTTTCTGTTTGATAGTGTAACATATACAGAGTATAACACTAATTAACTAAAATATTTCTCAGTTCAACGGATCACACCAACACTTCAATTCTCTGCGAGAAATAGATGACATTGTACAACAACAGAAACTTTGCATGCGCCCGAACTTCTCTTTTTAAATAGCTTTACTTTATGTCGTAGCACACAATACAACATCCGCATAGTCCAAAAGAATCACCAATAACTTAAACTAGAAAATAAAAGACGGCACGTCATTTTGAAAAGGGTTAAACTGTGCTCGCTACTATACGTTTTCACGTTAAGCTATGGTAGCTACATCCTTTAATTGAATCATTTAGAATAACGATTTGTTTTCAATGGCATCTGTGTGATCTTGAATTCGCAGAGATATGAAAATCTTATTTGGGTTAAAGTTTCGATTTTGAAATATTTTATGAATTTTAAATGTAAACATGAGGTCTGTACTTAGTGTCGTTTTGATTTTGGGATGTATATGTACCCGTCCACGTCCACTTTGTGATTTTGTTAGACGTATTTCTATTTGTATCCATCTGATGAGTTAAGTCTTTTTCAACTGATTTGTATAGTTTGTTCTTATGTTGTACTGTTACACCACTGTCCCAGGTTATGAGCAGGGCTGAGCGATCACAAACATGTTTAACCCCGCCGCCTTCTTTATGTGTCTGTCCCAAGTCAGTAGCCTGTAGTTCATTGGTTGTCGTTGGTTCATGTCTGTCATATTTGTTTTTCGTGAATTGTTTTGCTATAAATTAGGACGTTAGTTTTCTCAATTGAGTTGTTTCATATTTTTCATGTCGGGGTCTTTTATCGCCAACCATACGGTATGGGTTTTTCTCATTGTTGAAGGCCCTATGGATGCCTATAATTGCTTGCATCCACTTCATTTGAACTTTGGTGGATAGTTGTCTCATTGGCAATCATACCACATCTCCTTATTTTTATATTAAGGTAAACATATTTTATTTTAATAGAGGCGAAGGTTAATCGGACATTTACATGTCGCTACCGACGTCTCAAAATGGACAAAACCTTCCATAGTTTTTACATAATTACTATAGATGGATAGAAAAAAGATAATTGACTAAAACACTAATTTCCAACCAATTGTACTTTTTATTCAATTTCCTCCATTTATTCTATTTTAATTTTATTTTTTGTCGGACTGGTAAACGCTCTAATACATGTAATATTCTGTTAGAAAAAAAAATATTTGATTTGAAACTTTATTCATTAATCAGTACATCATGAACAGTTTTATTTCGATACCTTTTCTTCCGTTCGAGAAAGAATAATGTTAAAGCATAAAAATAATGTTATAAGGTACAATTCACATCGCATTTCTTGCGACATAATGTACAGTTTTGAGGTAAATGTGTGCAAATTGATACATTTACACTTATTTTGTCAAAGATACAAATAAGAAAACCGACACTATTTGGCTCATTCTACGAATTCTACAACAGCTGTCTTTTTGGCAATTAAAGTTATATGAATAATGGGAATTAAATACAATGCAGCTAGGTCGATTCCTTAAATGCGAAATTTATAGGCATTATTGGTATCTGCAAGCATAATGACAATTACAATGGCTTCATCCACCATGTCAATGTCAAGTAAACAAGTATCTTTTTTTTTTAAAGAGAAGTTACAATATTTCTCTTTTGCTTTCTTGGAATAAACGAGATGTAGGTTATACGTCAAATACTAGACTAAAAATATAAACAAAGGGAAACTATACAAAAAAACAAAAAAACAAGAACAATGAAAAAAATAAAGCGAAGATGCAATCATCTACCTAACACATGATAATGTCAAAAAGTGTTTGTACAATATGCTACTTAAAGCTCTTAATCGCTCCACAATATTCAAAATCGAAACATATTTATAGTAGTATATGCAGATATATATAAAGAAAGAGGGAATAGAACTATAAAATTGTCGAATATAGTTCATTTTGCTCGTTCTCACTCTGAAGATGCGCTATTCTGTCTTCTCTTTGGATTCTGATACTATCTGTGTACCGTTTACGTTTTCGACTTATCATAATTATTACTGTCGTCGTAAATATAAATGTAACTGACCCTGCAGCGACAATATAAATGAGAATTGGCTTCAACTCTGTATCTGAAAGCAATCAACACAATTAGTAAATAGATATATAAAGGACCGCATCTCCAAACACAGAATCTGATTTTAATATTACAATTGAATACGATACATTTTCCATGTGATGGTATGTTTCTCACACTCGGAACTTCCCGACATAAATACTGTTTACGAGTATTGTTTTCCAGAAATTCTTCTAATTGTAGTTCTGTGAAAAGCTTTTCTGATGGTTTTATAATAACTAAACACACCTTAATAATAATATGTAATACTATTTTTAATTCTAGCTCTGAAATTGTTGTAAAAACAGTCACTTGGTTTAATTTTGTTCGTGTACTTCTTTAAACTTGAGGTATAAATTACTCAGTTGGTTTACTCTTTTGAATTGTTAAAAGTGTAGCATGCTATAGCTTATTGAACTTGGTCATGGTTCAAAACCGTACCTGTAATAGTTCACATCGTTTTCCTTTGGTCTTTGTAGACAGTTGTTTCATTGGCGATCACAGAACATCTCCATATACACGGTGTCACTTCTCATACATAACAGATATTCTTGAGTACATAGTTTTTTCCTGTTTTGGTTTACCTTTTCGGATACCTTTCTTTTGATATACCTCACAACAAACATTTCACTGTCCTTCCGTATCCCATATACCATATATCATATATTTTAAAATGCAAATTAATTATTTGAACAAACCTACCCCTACTGGGTTTATCATTTGAAATTTCAATTTCTGTTACAGACTTCAGAACCCTGGAGTAACCTGTGGAAAAATAATATTTTGTTAACATCATGAACATGAAAACTTGAGAGAGCAAACACGACTTTCTTTTGGTTTAATCCCGCAGCAGTTGTCATGTGCCAAGTAAAGAGCCTGTATTTCAATGGCTATAATTGGTTTCTGTCTACCATAATTGTTTTTCGTTTATTGTGTTTATCATAAATCATGCCTTTAGTTTTCTCCTTTGAATTGTTTTACTTGTGGTCATGCTAGTGTCGTTCATAGATGATTATACGGTATGAGGTTTGTTCATTGTCGAAGCCGTTCAATGATCTGTAGTGGTTAACATCCTAGTAAATTGGTCTCTGGTATGTATTTGTCTCATTTGAAATTATACGACATCTCCGTAATTATATGATTTATATGAATATTTAGTACTTAGGTTCACTTGTTCTATAAACGATATCAAGCATTATTCAGAGACGTTAATTAATTCCTTGTTAAAGATGCAAGATTAACATATTGTCCTTGATTGTCCAGTATAAAAATAACCTAAATATTGACGTATTTCTGTAACTGCGTCATATGAAAATAAAAAGATGTGGTATGATTACCAATGAGACAGCTCTCCACAAGAGACCAAATGACACAGAAATTAATAACTATAGGTCACCGAACTATTACAAGCCTACTTCGGGAGGTGTCACTTATTGATGGTAAGGAACGGCTTACCCTTTCGGAGCACCTGAGTTTAACCTAGGTTTTTCGGGAGTGTCCTTGTTGCTCAATCTTAAGTTCTTAGTGTAGTGTTTTATGGATAACTGTTTGCCTTTTTGTCGTTTTTTCTTCTGGCTATCGTGTTGTCAGTTTTTCTATAAATTGGAAGTCTTTAAAGGAACTGTAAGACTTGTATAAGAATTATAATGTCTCCGATTTTTCATGCATGATACGGTAATCATATAATCTTCGATTACTGTGTTCATTGAAAGAAAATCAATAAATGATCCTCTAATAGGTTGATGTAATGTTAACCGTTTCTATTTTCACTGTATGTTTTTCTGTCTTAATGATTTATTTTAAATTCATCGAGGGTGTGATATGATCTAAAATGGTAATCTAAAAACGTCAAATGGTCACGTGCTTGTCCGCTTCGACGGCGATTGTCTTGTTTTATGGTCAATTATTATTTTAAGTTCAAAAATGGTTGTTTATGAATTAAAGCTTTGTTTATCATGTTTATTATATACTATATAGACATTTGTTTGTTTTTATAATACAATATCTTTACCGATTGACCTATACATTTCTATCTAAATTTGTGTATAGTAAGAATGCTAGATTTCCAATTTGTAATGATTGAGATTTAAAAATGTGACATATATATAGTTGCATCCTCCGCTTAGAGTTTACATAGAAAAAATACAAGTACTCACCCTGATACAAATCTACGGTTGCTATAACGTCCGCACATCCATTTATGTGATCACATCTGCATGTAGAAAATTCAATATTCCAAATTATCAAATGAATCATTATCATAAAAAAAAATGATAAGGGTAAAACTTCCATAATGAAGATTACTTAATCATGAAGTTTTAAGATCGGCTTAAAAAAACAGAATGCATACCGACAAAGTATGTTAATATTTGCAAGATCGTTCGAGAATGAACATTGTTTCACGGAGGTTTTAATATAATAAATGTGATGGTAATATTCTCATAAATTGCTTTCGTCAGATATAAAATGTTCAAGATCTTAAAAAATGACAACATCTGCCATGTAGTAATGGAAAAGGGTAATCACTTTATATATATACATAAACAAGTCTAAATTGAAAACAACGTTCAAACCTATGATTACGTTGGATAAAAACCGCAATTTTTATACGTGTGCATGCAAAACAAATTTCTTGCTAGAGGGGTCTAAATAGAGCACAAACAACATTTTCCAAAAGACCCAAAAAGTGAAAAAGTATATTTTAACAAAACGCATTTGACTAACAGGTCGAACAACAAATGTTCTTAAACCGTGCTGACTGCCATTGGCGATTGCCAAATAAACGGATCATCGATGTAATAAATTGATCTTAATTATAAATGTGTTGCTAATCAGAAAACAATACTATATATATATATGAAAATGGTGTTTGTGCTGTATTGAGACCCCTCTACCAAGAAATTTGTTTTGCATGCACACGTATAAAAATTGCAGTTTTTATCCAACGCAATCATAGGTTTGAACGTTGTTTTCAATTTAGACTTGTTTATATTTTTTCGTTTGGGCTTGTAATATATTTGCCTTCGGGTTTATATGATCCGTTCATCCTATTTTGACTCTTTCAAAATTCAAAAGTCTATTCTAAATTGAGATAAATTATATGCCCTTCCAAATACCGTTTCGATTCCTAACATCACTGAAGAGACATTTATTGTCAAAATCCGGATAGGATGTACAAATTTTTGCACCTCATGTTTGCGGTATACCATCTTATCCGCAAGTTTATTGTTTTCTGTTTGGTAATAAATTAATAATAAGATATATTTTTTACATCTTGTGATCCGTTTATTTTACAATCGCCAATGGCAGTCAGCAGTGTTTAAGAACATCAGTTGTTCGACCTGCTAGTCAAATGCGTTTTGTTAAAATATACTTTTTCACTCATTTGGTCTTTTGGAAAATATTGTTTGTGCTGTATTTAGACCGCTCTACCAAGAAATTTGTTTTGCATGCACACGTATAAAAATTGCGGTTTTTATCCAACGCAATCATAGGTTTGAACGCTGTTTTCAATTTAGACTTGTTTATATTTTTTCGTTTGGGCTTGTATTATATTTGCCTTCGGGTTTATATGATCCGTTCATCCTATTTTGACTCTTTCAAATTCAAGAGTCTATCCTAAATAGAGGTAAATTTTATGGCCTTCCAAATACCGTTTCGATTCCTAACATCACTGAAGAGACATTAATTGTCGAAATCCGGATAGGGTGTACACATTTTTGAACCTCGTGTTTGCGGTATACCATCTTATTCGCAAGTTTATTGTTTTCTGTTTGGTAATAAATTAATAATAAGATTTATTTGTTACATTTTGATCCGTTTATTTTACAATCGCCAATGGCAGTCAGCAGGGTTTAAGAACATCAGTTGTTCGACCTGCTAGTCAAATGCGTTTTGTTAAAATATACTTTTTCACTCATTTGGTCTTTTGGAAAATGTTGTTTGTGCTGTACTTAGACCCCTCTACCAAGAAATTTGTTTTGCATGCACACGTATAAAAATTGCGGTTTTTATCCAACGCAATCATAGGTTTGAACGTTGTTTTCAATTTAGACTTGTTTATATATATATATATATATATATGCGTTGGATAAAAATCGCAATTTTTATACGTGTGCATGCAAAACAAATTTCTTGGTAGAGGGTCTAAATACAGCACAAACAACATTTTCCAAAAGACCAAATGAGTGAAAAAGTATATTTTTACAAAACGTATTTGACTAGCAGGTCGAACAACTGATGTTCTTAAATTCTGCTGACTGCCATTGGCGATTGCCAAATAAACGGATCACCGATGTAATAAATGGATCTCAATTATAAATTGAATACTAAACAGAAAACAATAAACTTGCGGAAAAGATGGTATACCGCAAACAAAAGGTGCAAAGATTTTTGTACACCATATCCGGATTTCGACAATTAATGTCTCTTCAGTGATGTTAGGAATCGAAACGGGATTTGGAAGGCCATATAATTTACCTCAATTTAGGATAGACTCTTGAATTTTGAAAGAGTCAAAAATGGATGAACGGATCAAATAAACCCGAAGGCAAATATAATACAAGCCCAAACGAAAAAATATAAACAAGTCTAAATTGAAAACAACGTTCTATCCTATGATTGCGTTGGATAAAAACCGCAATTTTTATACGTGTGCATGCAAAACAAATTTCTTGGTAGAGGGTCTAAATACAGCACAAACAACATTTTCCAAAAGACCAAATGAGTGAAAAAGTATATTTTAACAAAACGCATTTGACTAGCAGGTCGAACAACTGATGTTCTTAAACCCTATACAGAGATACTAACATTAATGTTAAATTATCTTATACATCTTTGTATTTAAGTTAATCATTGAAATCATTTTCACATTTTTGAAACAAAAACATTTTTAATTTCAATTTGCAGTTATAAATTTCGAAATCATTATAAATTAAAGAATGTATCTCCCTCTTGATTTTATCATATCTTCAACGTTTGTATTAGGTGTTCAACATTCACATAGTTTCGCCTCAACCATCACTGAAGATACAGACGCATCTGGTGCGAAACAATGGTGCTGTGAATGTTATTCTACACATTTGTGTCAATCACAATATACATAATGATAAACAAAACATAATTAAACATTACCGCTGGTTAGTCGTACATACACACTTCTCCGTACACCCGTTGCCATAAGTGTTGTTTGAACATGGTTTACAAGGAGAACCCTGAAAGAACTCAAAACCATCCTCACATTCTATTAGAAAGTAATAAAAAAAGAATATGAAACAAAACAAAAGCGATGAGCCGGAATTGTTTTGCATCGGTATTTGATTGTTTTCTAAATATTAAAATTTGAAATTTGATCCTTGTAAATTGAAATTAGAAAGTTAAAATCTTTGACCTCAAACATGTTTATGTACTTTATCATCTCCATACAAAACAAACATGTCGGATTTAACAGTTTCTCATTAAAGAAATCATGCCTTTGGTTTATATATAAGTTTAAAATGCCTTTGAACGAGCTTTCAGTGACAGTGAATTGCTCAAAAATTGGTACCGTGAGTTATTTTGTCTTTTTTTGTGTGTGTGCTCTTTGCCTATCTGATGAGGTAACCTCATTCACGGTTTGGTGTACTGGTACATCCCCATCTCAGGTTAAGGAACGGTTTGAGAGGTCACACACATGTATTTAACCAATCGCACGGGCTGTGTTCCTGTCAAAGTTAAAAGCCAGTCCCAAGTTTGAAGCATGTAATTGAATGGTTGACATTGGTTGATGTCTGCCGTATTCGTTTTTAGATTTTTGTTCTCATTCTCTTTTTGATTGTTTCACATTTGTATATATTGGGGTCTTTTACAGCTCATTGTAAGGTATGGTTTTTGCTCATTGTTGAAGACCATATGGATAGATATAGCTGTTTGTATCCTCTTCTTTGGTATATGGTGGATGATTTTCTCATAACAATCATGCTGTATTCCCTGTCTTTGTACCGATTATGTAAAGGACAATTTTGCATAGGCACATTGAAAAACACGTCTTCATTACAATTAGCGATACATTCTGACTATAAATAATAACTGTTCATGTATTTTAAATTTTTCATCTATTTTGCGTTTGCGTTTGCTAGTTAGTGAGTAAACATTTGTTTTGATCATAGTATAAAACGCCTAAAGTTAAGATAAAATTGTGAAGTTTTGTTCAATCAAATTTAAGATTAACTTTGAAACCTACAATTCAAAATTTCACAACTTCAAATCATATTGAAATTTAGTTTATTCATAGTTTGGGATGTAAGTGAATCGGAGGAGGAGGAAATGAAAAACATGTTTCCGTAACTTTTGAATGATTATTTATTTCTTTACTTTTTCCTTTTTGTTGAGTGAAAGCGGCATTGGTGAAAAAAAGTCCGTCAATTCATCTTTAATATTGTCAATCTTACCCACACATCCATTATTTGTTTTCTCGTGGAAATCGCAACAAAACTGTTTAGTAAAAGCTCTGTGAACAAAACAAGTATTACAGTTATGACTAAAAAATGATTATTATTCAAGGTTGTGACAATTAAATCTCTACCATCTCAATGATATCATAAACACAACCTGGAATTGTATACAGAACTCTCACGAAAGGGTATACACACACAATATGACACAACTCTGGAATTCGAAATTTGAATTGAACACTTATGTCTACTGATACCCGCAAATTAAAGCACAAGAGCGATAAGCATACTTGTTGTTTAGTTTTTAATTATAGATTTATTGTAACTTATATCTTTGACTTTACAAACATTTAGCATTGTTTAGAATTGAAACACACGTTGTTCACAAGAAGATCATAGAAAAAAAAAGTACATTTTTTTTTCTTTTTTCTGATGATATAAAAAAGAAGATGTGTTATAATTGCCAATGAGACAACTCTCCAGAAGAGACCAAATGACACAGAAACTAACAACTATAGGTCACCGTACGGCCTTCAACAATGATCAAAGCTTTTGATAGGTTGTCGTCTTGAATAAATATTAGCTGATTAGACTGGCAGGAAATTTAAAAAAAAAAAGGGTTCTACATTCAAATTGATGGAATATCGTGGTAAACGTATTCAAGCCTTACAAATGTATGTTAGTTATATCCTTAAAAAAACTTTAGAAGATAATCTTGACCCTTTAGTGCAGAAAGGTCACTTATGATGTAACGTTTCACAGATGATATCGGATATGTTCCTTATGTCGTAACTACAATACCCTTCCTTTTCACGAATGTGACTTACCAAATTAGACTATTTACCGGATTTGTTATAACATAAGCAACACGACGGGTGTCACATGTGGAGCAGGATCTGCTTACCCTTCCGGAGCACCTGAAATCACCCCCAGTTTTTGGTGGGGTTCGTGTTGCTTAGTCTTTGGTTTTCTATGTTGTGTCATCTGTACTATTATTTGTCTGTTTGTCTTTTTATTTTTGGCCATGGCGTTGTCAGTTTGATTTCGATCTATGAGTTTGACTATCCCTCTGGTATCTTTCGTCCCTCTTTGAAGTCATAAAAATGTCGGAATTTACATATTTCACCAAATATGATTATTTCAAGCATAGTGTTTTATCAAAATATATATTAGCAACAGCTTTTCCCAAAATACACATAAAAACATCTTTGTAAATTACCTTTTGTAGCAAATTGTCTTGTTGGGTAAAGCTGTTTCTAATATCTAAATACTTATGGCAAAATCTTTAAATAAGGCCACTTTTGCAGCTTTTGCTGTTTTTGCTAAATGTAAAGTTTGAAGCCTTAAGGATGTAGTCAGGTGAAATTTAAATAAAATCTGGAACTTAAATAGATAATGTAAATCATAAGAGCATTAGTTAAGGAACAAAATAAGCTAAAAATATTGAAAGGTTATGGAACTCCTTTTCGGGATATTCTTTTTTTTTTCAATGGTGGGAAAAGGCTGAATTTGACCTTGTATTTAGGATTGGCATTATTTGGGTCTCGAATCGTTAGGAAAGAAATCTAGAATCTGCTTAAATTTTGGTAAATCACCTTTTATGAGCTATTGAAGTCTTATATGAAAAGAAAAGTTGGTGATATGGGACAAAATATTTTACCGTGTATCGTAGGAAAAAAAGCAAGCCGTCCGAACATACGACAAAAAATCCTAAACCTGACATGACTACATTCTTAATTCCAATATGTAAGACAACATTCAAAAGATATAAATACTGATGTACAATAGATAAATGTATTTTGAACATCTTAAGACTGTTAATTGGTAGATTTATATAGTTTTGATTTTCGAATTCACGGCCAAGTATATCAAACGAACTTAAAGTTTACTGTCAGCATTATTAAATAAGGTATTTTTAATAATTGTGTTGCTTTTTGTTATTCAAACCAGTATTATTAGGTCATCTACTATTCCTGTGTTTTATTCTATTCCCACTTCTTCGCTTCAACTTTTATTATTCTGCTGATTTAATTAAAACGATAGAGTGGTTAACCCGTCACGGGTTTATATGGCTTTGACTAGACATTGAAGAGTACAAAGCTTATTTTGTTTTACAAATTAAGAACTTTAGCAAAGATGCGTCTCGATGAAATATATATTACCGTTTACAAATGTACCCAAGGCTTTGATTACCTTAGTTGTATTTGGCAAAACCGTTCGGAAAAATGGGTCCGCAATGCTTTTAAACTCTGTACTATATTTTGGCTTTTTCACTATAATTTTGATTCGAGCGTTACCAATAAGTCTTTTGTAGACGAAACGCACGTCTGGCTTTTATTTTATTGTGTAGATGCTATCAAATTGGAATAAATTCTCATCTAAGTCATCTAATAGTATACCTTTTCAGGTTAGACATGTAAATTTCTCCACGCATAGTTGCATTCTTTAACATATAAACAAACGATTTTGATATACACTTAGCTGGAGGTTTAACTTTAGTTTCTTGGTATGCACATAAAAAAAACTTACCCGTCGTGACTACTTGTTTCACAAATCCCACTATTATCAAAGGCTTGGCTTAGTGTGCAAAACAAAACAATCAATGATGTTAGTTTTAGTTTCATAGCCACATGCCTTAAATTCGACGCGGAAGAAAAGTTGCTCATTATTTTATAAATCAAACACGTGTTGTTCTTTGAATCTACAATGACATAATTTATTCTAATTTTATATTATGTTAATAGTTTCTGAATGCATGGAATAACATAAGTCTTAAAGTAATGATTGCTAAAGTGTTGTTGGATCTGTACCCCCAGGGTAATTTTTATATATAATTTTTTGTTCTAAAAGATGCTATGTAACATTTTTCTCGAGACTATACTACATCTTTATATATATCTACTTTCATGTTTATTATTTCTAATTTCCTTATGTTTGCATGAGTATATAGTTTATTTCTTATGTAGATATGTATTTTGTTTACGATTATCTTGTTGCTTACTTGATTATTGCTGCTAAGAAAATTGATGTTATACATGTTTTGGGCCTATTCGGGGATACTTATTTTTCAAATTGTATCAAGACAAGTTTTTTCAACAAGTTGAATATAACAATCACTTAGTATATAATTATGTGAACAACTGCAATCAATGGAATACAATTCATATTTTTGATAGCCATAAGCCGTGATAGGTTAATCTGATAGAATCGTTGCTAGGTTTGTGATAATAAGATGATTTTTTTTTAAATCTACACAATAAACTTCTTTTACATTTGATTTGTTTACTTTCACCAGGATAGGGTGTTGATATAATGAATTTGAAAAAGGCCAGTACGTCAAGTCAAATTGTTATGAAAGGAAGGACTGCAGACAGTCATACCATTTGTTTCCTATTGTTCTTTGTTCAATACACGAAGGTCGGATGCATGTCCTTTAAACTGATATGATTCGGAAATTAGATAGGATTTGGAACAGATGATTAATCTCTGTGTTTGTTTTAATACTTGTAAAACATTTATTATTTTAATTTAAAAAAAAATATCATGGACTTATTTTCTGACAAACATATACTGTAACAGTAAAATACAAAAACATTTTGTTCCATATATAGGTGTACTATAAAATAAAATGTATATAGAAATAAGAAGATGTGATATGAGTGCCAATGAGACAACTCTCCATCCAAGTCACAATTTGTAAAAGTAATATATGTATATCCTAAACAAGACTTGAAGATTAGCAGCAACAAATTAACAGTACATTCAGTTCTGACGTTTATATGCTGCAAAGGCATTTTGGGATTTTGGGGAAAAAATATACTACAAGAAATTTGAATCACAGACTTTTGTTTTGTCACTTTATGAACCCTAAACCCCTATTTACTACAATTTTTACACTACTATCGAACCGTGAACAATACTTTTCTCATGTTACATATGTATTTATTGATTGCAGATAAATTTTAAAGTACATGTTTTTAGGTTTTTCGATCTTATCAATTATAATTTAAATGCGACTCTCAACAAGTTAGTGGTTTAGCTAGCTATAAAACCAGGTTTAATCCACCATTTTTCTACATAAGAAAATGCCTGTTCCAAGTGTGGAACATAACAGTTGTTATCCATTCGTTTGATGTGTTTTATCTTTTGATTTTGCCATTTGATTAGGGACTTTCCGTTTGGAATATTCCTAGGAGTTCAATATTTGTGTGATTTAACTTTTTGTTTAAATCTATCAGTATTAAACTACGCCTATCGGAAATTTTTTACAGAAACTATATGTGAAAAGGTTTTATATTCCATCAAATAGGACCATAACAGTGTATGCCATCGACCTTTTAAAAATGTTTCGATTTGATTTAATTTTTGTTCCTTCATAACCCCAAACCTTACGTCGTACCACAAGTTTCCCTCAAATACAAATTTAATTCAACAATTTCGCAAATTTTACAAAAAACTCTGTTGGCAACAAATTTTTTCTTTAATACCAACAATACCACGACCACGGCCGTATTATTCTAGAATACAGGATATCGCATTTGAGTATGTCAGTATTTATTCGACATGCTGCCGGAAAATTTAAACACCAAATAAACGTGACATGTTCGAAATTATGTGCTACTTATTTATGTAAGGTTTATTTCTGATAATGACATAAACCCACTAGACACCAATGCCTAATGTATTGGGGGATTAGGCGCTTACAAACACCTTTAATCCTACAATATTCAATATGTGCTTATCCCAAGTCAGGAGCCTGTAATTCAGTGGTATCCGTCAAATATGATTTCCGTTTATATTCTTTTTGTTTGAATCCTATTACATTTGTCATGTCGGGCCTTATATATCTAAAACTGACTTCACATTATGGGTTTTGTTTATCATTAAAATCCTATGGTTACCTATAAATGCTGAAATCCATTCGATTGTGACTATGTTTTTAAATACTCTGTACATACAATAAAGCAGATATAAGATTCAGATGTGACACAGAATCAAACAAATTTTGAAAACATTCATAAGTTTTCCGTTACATCCTCTTAGGATTTCCGTTACATCCTCTTAGGATTTGACGCAGTTAACCATAATTCTTGAGTCTGATGTATTTATACTCATAGTAAGGGGATCGATAATCCAAAAGCCTTTTTTTATTACCGTTCATCGAGTTCTCCTAAACAGTTTTTAGTGAGAAAAGATTCTCAGTGTTGATCTTTTTCAGGTTAAAGACTATTACCATATTTTTTATCCTAATCGGATATGCTGATCAACATAAGCCGTTGTAAAATTTGAAATATATGTGTGACGGCTTTTCATGGTTCAGTACTGTACAATGCGATGAACTTTTTGAATGTTTTTTTAAAGAAGTATTATCAATTAAAAAAATGATCTCTAAGTTGCTTTAATAAGGGTTACACAAACATGCTACGTTTTAAAGCATTCGGAACACAAAACATAACTTTAAATGCTCAAGGATTACGTTTTTTATACCAAAAAAACGCACAACATAACCATTTTGGAAAAAACAAACCGTAGCAGTTTATGCATGTTCTGATTATGTGCTGGTGGGTCGGGATACGCTGAAGATTTCGTACAAAACGCTAGTCTTTTATCTGAAACGTTGCAATTTGGTATTAATTATGGACCCATTTGTATGTATTATAAGGATTTCCAAACAATCACAACATTTTAAAATTTGCAAAACATTCAATTCCTATCGAAAAAAGTATTAACAAATACCGAACTTCAAGGTAAATTAAAAAAGGGGATGTCCATAAAAACTGACAAAATCAAACGTCACACTTTATCAACAAACGGACCTAATGGAAAACAACTGTCATATTCCTGATTTGGTACCAGAGAAGAACCGAAGGACCTTTTTTCATCAGCAACAACGTTGTGGGAATACTGTTGATTCATTATCTTGGGATACCATTTCCATGGATTTTTATAGTAAAATTTAACTTCTAATTCAAATTATAAACAAATAACAAATTTTATATAGGATTGTATGCAGAAACTGATACAATCTTTGACAAAAAAATGACATAACTTTGAAATCAAATATCCACGAAAATGCAATTTTTTCTCAAACCAAGAAAATTGGTACCAACTAAAATAAATTATTCCACCTTATGTAACATCCTTATAATTAAATGCTATAGTCTCCCGTAGAATTAATAATAGACAATGGAGCTTTAACATCTCAAATTTATTGAGCTTGCTAATACAAATAAAAAAAAAGCTTTTCTGTTGTTCTTTTATTGTTTAATAATATTAATATAATAGAAATGTATCAACAACAACTACACGTACTACTATTACTGCTACTATTACTTCTACTACTACTTCTAATAATAATAATTAATAATAAAAAGTACTTGTCCCTCTCCCATACACTCTGCTTACAATTAATGGTTTGTACTAGTTCCTTTTGTAATGTATAGTTTTTCATATTTGACATTTTTAATTACTGATTTTGAACATGATTGTTACCGATGCACTTCTGTACAAAAGAGCGATTGATCGCTATTTAAGCTTTAAGCATACTGCTTTGTTTTATTCAATAATAAAGAATTATTTGCAAATATGAAATTAAATGTGTATGATGTACAGTTTGAATTATGATCAGCAGCAAAACAACTTTATTACAAGCTGTCGTTAATCCTTTATAAACAATGCAGACAGAAGAATTACTTCGATACATTGGAAATGTTTGTATATTATATTGTAAACAAGGGTTGTGTTTCTCATTTGAGGATCAGAAGCACTAAACACCTTATAAACAAAACAAAAAAGCAAACAAGAACAAATACAAAAAAAAGTAAAACGTGTACAAACTTTATTGCAAGAATATTATTTATTTTTGCATATAAAATAACCGTTGATGTGGTTAATACCTAATTAGCAGCTTTTGTTCATCTTATTCTTTCAAAATAAATTCAAAAATAATTATTTAGTTAAACATAACAGTATTTTCATATGTTTTGACAAAACAATCTGACGGTCTTGAACCGTGCGGAATGTCAGCATTCAACGGAAGATTTTTGTATATTGCGTTTGGAAAATGAACTATCGGTTGATATGGCGTAAAGTAGTCATGCCCTGGAACATCTTCACCACTAGCACCAGATGCTGTGGATACCTCATCTTTATCATGTTGGTAGATAACAGCTCCATGATTAGTTACTTCGACTGTGAGAGCATTTTCATCAATTTCGTCATAAGCATTTTCTTGAATACTTGGATCTTCAATTGGACCCATAGCTGCATTTGAAATAATGTAGTTGCTGTGTCGTTTTCTTTTGTAATAAACTGCACACATGGTGCAAAATACCATGTTAATAACTATGCCTCCCATCCCTAGTGCTAAATATATGGGAAAGTCACTAAGAATGTCTGAAATATTTTATGAAGGATAATTATTATTACATCAATGTCATGCTTTTTTATATGAAATATAAATATATATGATGTGTGCTCTTCCCCCCGAAAGATTACATAGTCATATATGTAATATGATTTGGAGTTTGTTTAGCATAAACATGGTCTATTTTTGTAATTACAAATAACAACCTCCAGAAGAAATATGCATTTCCTTTGAATCTCTTAAAATGGTTTGAGTTAGTTCAGAAATGTTTTAATTTGTCCTTTATGTAATCATTTCATTCACAATCCTTTGTTATTATATAAAAAGACAAACTCAAATTTCCTGAATGTTTTGCCAAACATCACCAATTTGTGGTGTTCCTTAAAAACACTAGACTATCTATACAATTATTACATATTGTAGTTAGTTGGTAATCCAATCCATTTTAAATTCGGTTTAATAAATTATCATAATATCACGACTAAAACGTTCTGTCTACCAGTGTCCTCCAGTGACATTAAGAATGTCAAAAGTTTCATAGTTTAAAAAACAACAATAACTTAGGTAAAAAGCTTTACAAAACAAATAACCCCAGTCAGCGATAAAGTTAAATTCAATGTCAAGGATTTAAAATGTGTTACTGTAATTTTAGATCAATATTGAAATAATCAAATGTGGACAAATAAATACTTTGAAATAAAGCAAAAAGGTACCACCTCATAAGTAAAAGTTCATACCGTTTTGACGATCTGTACTTGAACGATCAGTTGCTGTTGCAGTGGTCCAAGTTGTTAATGTACCTTTGAATATACAGTACAATGCAAAAGGAAGTGTTAATTTTTAATCTCGATGCACATTTGGGCTTAAATACAAATTAAATAAAAAGTAACTAATAAGAAAATCAATCGAGAAAATGCCATTTTAGTTGTGCTGGGAACATTAGTTCATAATTATGCACCCGTTTTGTTTTTTAGAGTATGTTAATATACAGCCACGTCATCTTGGGTACGTCTCCACCTATAACTAGAGAACTGGACAACCAAGAGTACATTATACATTTCCAGGTAAAAAATGAAAGGTAAGCAATATAAAATACCAAACATACGTAATATCAAGTTAAAATATAGAAAACATTGAAGTCATATATATTTTGTTTTGCTTATTGACGTCATCTAACACATTTCTTGTTCTTTTAAAAAAACATACAGTTATGAAACGTGAAATCATTAAGAAACACATCATTATATGTAAAGCTGTTCATGACTATAATGCATGCATTACACCAAAAAATCTACAAATAATCATCATACTTAGAACTTCGTAATTGCATTGGTAGTAATCATTTTTAAACAACACGAACTCAATACTGTCGATGCCTTCTCTCCCTGGGCACCGAACATCACCCAATGGTGTTTTTAGGGCGTCTTGTTTCTCAGTCTTTGGTGTACTATTTAGTGTTTTGTGGACCTGTATGTCTTTTCGATTTTGCCATGGTGTTGTCATTTTCTTTTCTTTTTTATTCGTTTTTAATGTCCCGTTGTTATTTTCCACTTCTTTTTTTTTACAGCTGTGAAATAGTTCAGTTGAAATCAACATTATGTACTTTGCAAAGGTAACGTCACTTATATCGTACAAATAGTTTACTGAATGGATGCTACGATAATCTATGATGTTCAGGTCATAATAACCCATTCAACTAGAAACAAAAATTGATGAAAGTCCACATTTTTTTGTAAAACATATAGATTAGGAGATGGCCCTTTCTCAGGTTATTATCCTGAAACTCCAATATCAGTCTGCCAGACTAGTTTGTTTACATTCCAAGACGTCTATTCAGCCAAATCCACTAGAACAGGGTCTAAATCTAGAACTGGTTGAGGAATACTTACTGCATCAATACAGAAACAGTCATTTTGTACTTAAGTTATTATATACTTATGGCGTACGTGCGCAAACAGGCAAATAATCCTCTATCAACTCGAACACTAGATGTCAGGTCGGATTTATATGAGTTTACCAGCCTTAATACTATTGCCAGCATTTGGGAATGTTCTTTCACCTATTCGTTTTGCTAAAATGTTCTGATTTATTACATAATTATGCAGAAGAACATATCGTTGTTTAATACTTAACAACATGGTATCAACCAGTCGTTCAAGTTAATCTGTATAGCCGTGTTCCAAAGCCCGAATACCAACCTGAACCTGTTGTGATATTTGTGATATCTGATTTACTGACGCATCCGTTAACATGGTGACACCTAAAATGTAATTTTAAAACAAAATGTATTTTAAAACTGCTTCAGTTTAATCGGTTACTGTTTCCTGGTAAGAATATTTGTATATTGAAACCTAAAAATAAATGAAAATAAACATTTGAATAAGGAGATTATATACACTTAATGCCTGTGCAACACAGAGAAAAGAAGGCACCTAGATGTCAGCATACAGTCTCCAACAACATCAATTGCATGCCTTTGAGATTGTCAATCTTCATAAGGTATCTTAAAGCAGATATTTTGATTGCTTTCAAACAATTCATCTAGTATTAAGAGTAGACAAGCGAGTTAACACGTTATATATGACTTACATGGCCTTTTTAATGACTTACAGTGGCATTTTGACATAATTCTCTATGACCATACCTGTGAACATTTTTGCCTATTCTTTTGACCAGTCATGTTGATCATCGTTCACAAACCAGAACTTTGTTCAGTTCTATTTTAGACCGGTCCTGATTACAATTCGGTCCATAGGGCTGGTCTTAGTTAAAAGGTCATCACCTTTTTTCTGTCAATAGTGTAACCGAACACAGGCAAGTCCATGTTCTGTCAACACGATTTTACTTCAAAACAAGAAAATTCAGGATACCACATTTCTATTCCACGGTCACCCTTAGCAAGTGATAATTACAAAGAGCAAATAAAAGAAAAGTTCACACAACGTGTAGGCTTGTGTATTTATGAAAAATGATCACTGAAATTGACTGTTCACATGTTAACGGTCATCTTCACCTATGTATTGACCGATTCGATGTGTATGTGTCTCAAATCAAAAACTTCAATAAATGCCTGTTTTATTTCAAGACTTAATGTGTAATTGAACTCTTATCAGTAAAAAGTAAAATAACGAAAATACCGAACTCTAAGGAAAATTGAAATCGGAAAGTCCCTTATCAAATGGCAAAATCAAAAGCTCAAACACATCAAACGAATGGAAAACAACTGTCATATTCCTGAATTGGTACAGTAAACTACACTGTAATTAATATCATAGATACATATTTATTAATGCATACCTTTGATATATTGCGCAGGTACACTGTTGTACACAAAACTTGCCATATGTATTTGATGAACATGGTATACACGGATTTCCTTCATTTGACTCATATCCTTCTCTGCATTCTGTTATTAGAAATTAGTCAGACATTAAATGAAATTTATATCAGTTAATTATACGACGCTGAATGGCGTATTGAAGTTATCGATTGGCATATGTAATTGCTATAGACATTGGATAACCTCAATACCGATGTAATGAATTATGTTTACGAGAATAAAACAAAAGAAGTTTGTATGTATGGCAACATCATCTCACTGATTCTGATATAGAAGACATACAACATTGTGTCGCATAGTTTAACCCCGCCGCATTTTTGCGGCTGTCCCAAGTCAGGAGCCTCTGGCCTTTGTTAGTCTTGTATCATTTTTAATTTTAGTTTCCTGTGTATAATTTGGAGATAAGTATGACGTCCATTATCATTGAACAAGAATACATATTTGTTTAGGGGCCAGCTGAAGGACGCCTTCGGGTGCGGAAGTTTCTCGCTGCATTGAAGACCCATTGGTAGCCTTCGGCTGTTGTCTGCTCTATGGTCGGGTTGTTGTCTCTTTGACACATTCCCCATTTCCATTCTCAATTTTATGTATGGTTTGTATTATGACAAGTACATTATAAACAACATCAACGTTTTCTGATTTCAAACTGACCATACAAACACTGAGTATATGCAGTTTGTTTCATTTGTATCTGAACATATTTATTGAAGTTGTTTAAATGAATAAGCTCACTGTACAATATTGAAAATGCCCAAAAGAACTTAATTATTCTAACAAGATTGCAAAATTTAAGATTGATCAACACTAAGTAAAAAAATGCATCCTATGCATGTCCCTCAATATAACTCGCGCTGGTTGTAAAAAAACCAACCCAGTCGGTGACCGTAATCGCGTGGAAACCGAGGATGAATTAACTAGTAAATTTACGATTACAAAGATGTATCGGTTTGAAGTATGGCAAGTTCTTCTAAACAGTGGTGTTCTTACATTGTTGGAAAATACGACAATTTAAGAAAAATAATTTATACCGCCCCTTAGTGGAATCAGCTTATCAGCTTTGTTACTACAGAGATAAAAAAAAAAATAAACAAGAAACAATACAAAAACTAATAACATAACAAAATCACTCAACTCATTTAATTAAATAACAGTCATTGTACTTTTTATTAAGGTGTAGAAAAAACACTCATCAAAGGTACCAGGTTCATAATCGTGAATGCCAGACGCGAGTTGGTTGATGAAGTTGTACGTTTGATTTTGTCAGTTTTCCCCTTTTTTTAATTTACCTTAGAGTTCGTTACTTTTCTTTATAAATAGTTTCGTCTACAAATGCCGCATCATTGCAACCCCAAAAAAACAAAATTAAAAGGCCAAATCAAATACAAAGTTAATGAGCAATGATGACCTAAAATTCCGAAAGATAAAGTTTTCTTTTGCCTACTGCATTGCCATTCTGAAAATAACAAGTATTATGTCAATTTTGCAAATGAATGTTTTTTTTCTGCACTCTCGGATCATTCAATTCAAATTAGTATTTACGCAGTTAACTTTTAGGCAAGTCATTCTGAAATACCTACCGACACATGTTCCGTTTCTGTCTTCATAATAATCACAGCAAAATTTATCATAGCTAGCTGTAGTTCCATCTGGATCATTTTTACTGTAAAATGAAAATTTATAAGGAAAGTTTGTTGATAACAAGAGGAAAGTTTTCTTCTTATTATTATAATCATATTTTATCATGGTTATATCAATGTGTTTTTTTTTTTATATTATTAAACTTTGCATCAGTTAAAGAAGGAATTCGTATCAAATCTGTTTCATATTACTTTATTTACACTGACAATATTTTCCAGAATATTTCATGACTTCTTTTAAAAATCCAATTATGTTTATATGCTTAATATCTATTTGTACAACTAACATAAACTTCCACTGAATCGAATCATCTGCTGGTATACTGTAAGTTTCCGTGAGTATGACCAGCCAAGTAGCTAAGTACTTTGGCACTGACATGAAAATACGGGTATTGTGTTATTCAAAGTTTTGAAACTTAGTAAACCTTTTTGAGATACTACATGCATATTATCTAGGGGAAGTATGATCGGATTTTGATCTGCCTGAGTACATTAATTCTTAGTCTTTTTTTTTTTGGCGATAATATGAAACCTTTAAATTGTCTGCCCTTTTCCCTACACTAGTAAATGAATTTTAGTCTGAAATGGTCATGTTGATCTGAAGAAGATCAACAATACATTATTCAGTCATATTCAGGGTTTCAGTCAATGTTCAGACTTTTCCATTGCAGTCATTTCAGTACTGTTCAGGCAATTCGCTTGCAGTCAATTCAGTACTGTTCAATTGTTTTTCAGACAGTTTAGTATGACGTTAATGTGAACAGTTAAATAACAAATACTGGACATTCTAAGCATAGACCGAACAGCTCTGAATTTACTGCAGGCGAATTGTCTGTTCAGTACTGAATATAACGCAGTGGATACATCTGAAAAAATGACTGAAAGTCTGAAAATGACTGAATAATTTTTTAACAGCTGTTTAGATCAAATTGACCGTTTCAGATCCAAATTGGTTTACTAGTGCTAGAATTCCGCATGAAAGGCACAATTGAAATTAATAGTCCAACTTCGTTTCATGAATGCAAATGGCTAAGATCGATATAAATATATTGAATTTGGAAAAAATATATCATAATTTATATAAAAATACTCACATGTTGTTTTGCATCTCAAACTTGATTTGTTTTTGTAGCAACATCCGAACATAATCTGAATACTTAGCATATAACCCAATGTTACACCCACACTTATTAAACAAATCGATTAAAGTTTTTATCAATATAAGATATTAATGAAAAATGATCAATCGTCTTACCCAACCACATTCTTTCGGGTGCATATTCCACTTTTGTTAAAGGCATAACCGATAGTAAAAATAACAAACGCCACTGTCAGCTGTGTTATCATTGTAGCATATACGAGCATCAACAAGGAAGAATTTGTAATTAAAAAAATGAGTGAACTAAATTATAGATGATTTATGCATGTTTTAATTGCAGGTTAACAGATAAATATCAATACTGTTTAAAGTGTAACAAATTAAAGTTATTGCAGTAGTTGTTTATATATAAATAACAAAACACGTAAATAAACTCATAAGACCAAGGAAAGTTGATGTACAACAGTGTGTATGAATCTTTTTTTTTTTTAAACATGTGCAAAATTAATTGTATTTGACCTGAATTAAATGTATAATACATTGAAAAATTGCATTCTTGATTTATAATATAATTGTCTAACAAATACATTTTTAAAAGTTACTTCTGTAACAAAAATTGAATTAAAACATCAACCGATTGACTATTTAATTCAGTTACATAAAATTGTACATGTAAGATTCGGTTTGGGAATTGTTTACATAACGTTACATTATAACCAGAAAATCTCGATATTTTCTTACAGATCTTTAGAATATGTATTTATTTTCGCGATTTTATGGGTTGATATGTTTAAAACTTACATAGCAATCAAAATCAATTACGTTAATGTATACATAAAATATGCCTAACATTGTACAGACTATTATTCATATAGTTGAATTTTATTTATTGCAGCTTAGACGACTTCCCTCTTCAACAATAATGTTTGAACAGTGTACTTTAGATTTGAATTTGTATAAAAAGAAATGACAAAATGATAACATGATTTTCTAGTGAATGTGACATTTAACAATATGGAATTCAGTTTCCGTATAGCTATTCAGGTAGGCAAATCTACTGTTAATTAATACATAAACTATTTTTACAGGAATCAAAGATCACGTTTGTTTTTTTTTTTATTAGCTTGCTGTCATGTATGGATTATTTGACATAGATACAAAACATAAAGACAAACAGTTGAATATTGTTTAAACCGTCCTTGTAATTGGTAAAATAAATACTAATATACCCATAAATGTAAACAGATTGCTTATCGAGTAGTTATATAATCGTTAAAAAGATAACCGAACAAGTTAAAAAAAAGAAATTAAACTTCATGTATATGAGTTTGTTGTTGTCAATAACGCGTAAGGTTCCCTAGGAAGCAACATTTGTATATCCGAGAAAAACCGAACCGGGATTTGGACAAGGATTAAATTATATAAGATACATGTATCTATAACAGGAAAATTTACATAATGTACTGTACTTGATAAACAAGATTTAGTTTCTAATCCGTACTTCCACTACTAATGATTTTCAGCATTCATCACATTTCAGAGCTGATTTTATGAAAAGAATTAAACACATGAGTATACGTTCACGATAAATTTCTAAAAGACAGCAAAATAACAAAGATACTAGAAATCGATTTTAATACTATGTCTTGTGTAGCTGAAAAAAATGTTTCACGTAAATGCAATAACCATTCAATCATGACACAACGTCACATTTGTCCGATAAATCGTGTAATTAATTATTTGGTGTTTATTGATCAGGCTCTTCTCTATTTGACGTTCGCAGAAGAACTCAAACTGCGATGTCCTGACCGCTCTCAGTGGAATCTCCGATTCCGAGCATTTTGTAAAACCTCCAGTGAATGGTACTACTGTTTATTTGATAAAAATAGTGAACGGTATAGAGAGGTGTGCAGCAACCAGGAGTCATTTCATAAACCTGGTAAAAATTTGTTTATGTTCCATCATAAGCTAAGCACTGCCGTTTACAAAGTAAAGTTAAATACCCCTGTGTCGGAAGAACGTTTTGATTTGGTCGATGATGAACATCATGTCAGCAACAAGCTTTCTGACAAAGAACTAGTTTATTATGTTCAAACACAATATCATCATCACACTGGTCTTTTTTTTTTGTGGTGGTGAATTGAGGGAGGAGGAGGGGGAGAAGTCACCCTCACATTAACACATTAACGGGAATATCATTGATATACTATTGTTGATTTGGGTATAAGCTTCATTATTTATTGAGATTTTTTTAATTGGTGGTTCAAAAATGAAGGTATTTGATACTTTGTCCTCGTCTTTCAATCCTTCACTATATCCGAAATTATAAGTTAAAGGTGATTTTTTTCCAATAGCACAATGGACCCTAAATGCATTAATCAGTGTTGAACATAACAGGCATACAAAAACAAATTCATTCTTTAAATGAAATAAATCTTAAATAAGTTTATAGTTAAGTCTTAAAATTATTAGCATTTTTTTTTTTATTTTACGTCTTCAAAAATGCTTTTCTTAGCTTTGAAAGGACTTTGATTATATGAGTTTCGTCAATGTAATCCAATGCTTCTTATCCTGTAATACTTACATCCTGTCGAATGATTAAAAAATTTACGACAATCATTGTTTAATGTTGTTTGCCGTAGAACAAGTAATCAGTTATGTCACAAAAATATGACTGACAATATTCTTAAGCTCCCTTAACATGCTTAATGAATCATCGACATACTGTTTATGACTTATGATATTATAGTTATTAAGCAATCGTTATCGCTTTTGTCATGTTTATATTTTTTAAGTCTTCTTCAAACTTTAAAAAAAGACGTTTGGTAATCATTATACCATTTAACCTATTCAAGTATACACAAGTTGATAACTCATTCATAAGTGCTTATCTGTTAATATATTCCCTTTGATCAAACCATATTTTAGAAAATTAACAACATCATTTTCTGACAAAGTTTTTGAATGCATGCATGAGATGGTAGCATGTGGGTTAAAACAATCTTTTGATTGCATTTCAGATACATAACTGACTTTCACATGGCACGTATTGTTTATGATTTGTAGATTTTCGATTCTGATACTTATTCTGTCTGTAATTATACTTTAATGATCTCTGCAAATTAATAGAAATGTTTTGTTTTAGGTTTTAAATATATAATCAGTGGTAATTTAAACGGGGAACCCTGCGATATCAACCGTTTTCAGCCATTTAAGTTTTCAATGGATGGTAATAGTGAATGCGTCTTTTTAAAGTCGTTTTGTACTGAAGACGGTCAAATTTTGCACAATGATGGTACCACAAAAACTGACATAACATGCAGGTGCGATTATACAAAAGGATACGCCTATGTCAATATACCAAAGCATACCTGTTATTGTGATCCCACACATGAAGATTGTTCATGTTACAAAAAGTCATGTGGAGAAAATGAAGTACTAACTGCAGGTGAGCAATGCTTTCTCTCTCAAAATATGCAATTTTGTATTTGTAGTTTATTATTTTCATAAAGTCAAAACGTTCACATTGAGAGTAGTTAAACACCCGCACACCAATTTTCGAAATGCATTTATATGTTTAAGAAAGATTGTCGTTCATCGGTCATTGTCGGTTGGGTTAACTGTTAACAATCTTTTTTTTTTTCTAATAATTAGTTTGTTACCAATTTTCCTGTATTTATTCAATAAAGATAAAGCGATTTTTATTATGTAAAGACCAATTAAATCTACACATTGGCAGCAAAGAAGTGCAAATTATCTAAAGGATTGTATGCAGACTTTCGCTAAACCACTGAAATTATAACGAAAGTACATGTCTTCCTCAATCCACAAAAATTGGTACCCACAAACACTAAATGAATCCACAGTACCATAACTGTAGTTGACCTACTTTTATCTGCAAGAAGTATCTTCAACAACTGATATTTTACCAATTGATTAACATTGATCACTGAACCATTAAAGTAAGCCAAGATAATAAGAAACCTGCATGTTAGACGTATATGCCAAATACATGTGTCTTATTACTCATAATACACGGCCATTATTCGGGGAAACAGTTTTTATTTATGTAGTCGCGCGCTGAACCATAGTGTATTATATCATATTTTCAATAGAGCGTTATACAAGTAACCCTCAATGTGTTGTCGTTGCCGTAAACGTATCTGTATGTACACAGTTCTACAACTCTAGTCGTAGTCGATACAAAAATCCGCTACCAAAATAGGATTTCATAATAAATCTTAAAATTCAATTTAGTTTTTGTTGTTTCTTGTATGGTTTTATTATTATTCGGCATTCAATGATGTATAACATAGACATTTTGTACCTTTTTTCCAGATTACGAATGTATCAAACAAGACCAATGGTATAGAGAAATCAACTGTCCATTTATAAAGGAAACACGGTGAGAAACATTATATTTGTTTTAATTCAACGCTGAAGCTGACAAATAAGACTTAAAATGCGGGTGGTGGCAAAACATTAATTATCGGATCAAACATGTAAAACCAGTAAAATTTAGATAAGATGAGTGATGTTTAAAACCCATTGATCTAGCACACGTCTTGGTTCAATATTTTGTTTTTGTTTAACGTCTTTGCGTAATATCGAACATGTTAGTCATTGTCTTATGTCTGTAATTTTGATGACAAGAAGTAAAAGTTGTACGTTTTAAGGGGAATTGGGGTAGGTAATTTGGATTGATAGTTATAAAAATTTGCATTTTTTAGATTGATGAAATTTACATAGTAAACCAGTTGGGTTTCTTTCATTACAGTTCTTGGAAAAATTCAATATTTCCCTACACTATCATGACTAAACCTAAACCTGCACAACATCTAAGTCCAGTTGATTTTTTTTTTCTCTTGGATTACCCCCAAAAGCTTGCAAAGACTGAGAAAGTTTTCAATCGCCTAATAGCGTTTTCCACATACACACAACACTCCGATAATCGCTAGCTCTTTTTTAGCTTACATTTGTACCTGACCCAAAGTGTAAGTTTAAGCTTTTCCTATTACTTGGCGTCCGTCTTCCGTCTTCTTCGTTGTCCATCGTCGTCGTCCGTTAACTTTACAACCATAATTTCCAAAACTACCGTCCTGAATTTAACCAAACTAATTATGTCGATACTTTATTTTGGCATTGAAGAAGTCATATCATCTTTTGACTGTCCATGACGTTAAAACTCTAGTTCCTTCGGATAGTTTAGTCTCGGATGCATGATTTTTTATTATTAATTGTTTTTGGCTTTTAACTAGCTTTCATTAACTGCGAGTACTCTCAAATCACACTTTCGTGTTAATTTGACCTGTTGATACAATTTGTAATGCATTTTTGTTATCATGTTATTTAATGTTCACTTATTTTGTGTTATATCTCGCCTCACTATTTTCAATATATATCACCTTTTATAAGTGTTTGGTATGACGATAAAGTTTCATTTCTGTTCTCGTACTATGAACAACAAAATTATTTATTTTGTAAAAAAATATTTCCGTACTCTATTTATACCTTACAACAAAATTATTTTCATTTACCTGTGTACGTTATTTTATTTGGCGGCATTTTGTCCAAGACTATGGTTGTCCTTCTGATATTGTTGTACATCTAACCCATTTTTTTTATTAATTTGTATTAACATTGTGTCATAGATCAAATGTATCCGTTCAGTGTATTCCTACTTATTTTTGTTAATATTTCTTTTGATTGAGTTAGGCCATTTCAATTGATATGTGATAGTGCGTCTTTCTATGTTGTGTTGTTACACTATTGTTTCAGGTTTGGGTGAATTTTGGCGCCTGTAAAATTGTTTAGACCCGCTGTATTTATTTGCACCTGTCCTAAGTCAGGAACCTGTTGTTCAGTGGTTGTCGTTTGTTGATGTGGTTGATAAGTGTTTCTCGTTTCTCGTTTTTTATATAGATTAGACCGTTGGTTTACCTTTTTGTAGGGATTTACACTAGTCATTTTTGTTGCCCTTAATAGCTTGCAGTTACGTGTGAGTCAAGGCTCCGTGTTGAAGGCCGTACTTTGACCAATAACGGTTTAATTTTACAAATTATGACTTGAATGGAAAATTGTCCCATTGGCACTTATACCACATCCTCTTATATCTATATGCTACAATCCTCATTGTGGTGTCTAGTTAAGAACTGAATCAGATGATCCAAACTGTCAACCAACATCCGGATATGGCTAAAAAACCAAGATAAGGGTAAAATGCAAGTTGTATCTAATAACTCGAAAACCACTTTATAGAGAGAAAATCTTACAAAGCCAAAAATGTTTGAAATGTTGAGATCTTAATTTTAACTATATACAGCAAAACTATCAGTCCAATTTTTATAGGAGTTATTGCCTTTAAATGACGAATTTTAAAAAAGATTCTCATTTTTGCCTTGCATCTTGAAAACTATAATGTGTGATACAGCATACCTTTTACTCCATAAACACTACTTATCGTTTAATGCAAAAATACTTACCCTATTTATACGATATTAAAAACCTACAATTCTCGTCTATTGGTTGGCGCTATTTGAAAGAAAATAGTTTGGTTTCAATATAACAAAAACATTGTGCAAGCTATTAGCGATTTTTTTTTTATTATAACTTATTCGTCTTTATACAACTTAAGCATTGAAATAATATCGCCAATGGTATTTGCTCTACTTGTTTGTTTGTTGCTTGCAGATATTGTCTTAAACGACAACCATTGAATAAACGCTTTACTGACTGGGATAAAAGAGATAAAACACTACAACGTTGCGTTTACAGAAGTTTGCAATATGAAAAGTAAAAGAATCCTATTTGTTTCTGATATTATTATGTCTACATATTCAGGAAATCTATTCTATTGAAAAGTTTTTATCATTTGTTATTATAGAATTGCATGACCTAAATGAAGCAGGTTTTTGAAAAAGAGAAAAAGAGAAAAACAGATATTGGTATTTCATGTAAAGATGTAATCATCTTTCTTGCATAAAATGTTAAATCACCAAAATACTGAACTCCGAGGAAAATCCAAAACGGAAAGTCCCTAATCAAATGGCAAAATCAAAAGCATATTGAATTATATAGAGATATAGATAGATGTGACATTCTTATTCTATTTCAAATGTCCTCCTGTTTTGATTAAAAAAACAACTTTAATCATAATTTCTATTAAAATTCATGATATTTGATAAAATGCCTTTTTTTCCTTGTCCGAAACTCAGTCATTCTGTAACTGCAGGGTTCAGAAAGTAAATTTTAGTCTGAAACGGTCATTTTGATCTTAGCATCATCTTTAAGAGTTGAACAATACATTATTTGGTCATACTCATTGCTTCAGACCATTTTCAGACTGAGCCACTGGTTTTCCAGTAAACTTATAAAAAAAAACACATGCATCTGCTGTGCGAAATGCTCTATGTTATGAGGAAAATATCTTACATTCTCCCTAATAAATCCTGAATAAGAGTTAGTGACAAAGCTCAGAAAATACCAATCTCTAAGACTCTTGGTTTAAAATTGTCACATCAACTAATGAATAACATCAAACTGTAAAATAAACGAATTTCTTAGAAAGGCTATAACATTTATTTATCTTTATATACAATGGTATGAAGTGTTAAAAAAGAACACTTTCTTTTTTTTGAGTTCATAAAAAATATAACAAAAATACAACACTCCAAGGCAAATTAAAAAAAGGGGATGACAATAAAAATTGACAATATCAAACGTTATCAATCAACGGTACAAGTGAAAAATAACTACCATATTCCCATATAATTGATTAGGGAGTATTAAATCAATGGTGAAAAATTAATTGTCTATTTTAAAAGTTTTTTTAAAGATGACTGATGAATCTTCGTAATATTTTTTATATTTCTGATCTAAATAATGTCTCTCACTTTATGTTGAAAATATTAAATATCATATTAACCATTATACAATGTATCTGACCTCCTTCTCCCGGAATCCTATTGTTTGATGGTTTAATTCCTTTAATATTAATTTATGTAATACTAAACATTTTTTGACGTCCTTTTGTCTCAACTTTTGTTGGGTATCTTTTAATTCTTATTTTTTGAATATATTAAGCAATTTTAATAATCGTCTGAAAACAAGCACTACAAGTCGGTATTGACATTTAAATATTTAGTAATAATTGTCACACATATTCCATGTATTCATAAATCATAAAATTTTCATAAATATAAAATCTTCACTTATCTGACAATTTACTTTAATTTGTTGATTTTCAGAAAACAAATGAATAGTCTTTTCTTCTCATTAAATACCTCTATTTCTCTATATTCTGTGTTCAAGAATCAATGTAGACATGGTTCATTCAACCTTCTAAAATTCATTTACTGTCACTCATTCCTTTTTAAACTTACATGTACAATTTAAATTCACCAAATGGCTACTTATGATAGACCCATTTACATGATTCCATACATCGTTTTCTTTATTTGCTATCTATACACAATGCTCTTCGGCCTTTTCGTGTTGATGTTGCCTACTAAACGTGTAACAATGTATCCCCTTGTTCGAGAAAAATGTGTATTTTTTCATTATGTGTTCATCTGATTGACACATACTTCAGGTAAGACAAGGCAAACTGCCCGATAAACTGTTGATCACGAAGTATGGCAATTAGATTAAAACAATGAAATGATTCAGCCAATCAGATTCGACATAGTTTGGGAAATTACGTTTAGATGCAAACACCGAAATTCGGTGCTAAATTTTTTTAAGTACACTTTCCTAATTGTGTTATTTGTAGGTAAGATAGCAAATTGGACAGTAAAGAAGATTTTAAATTAAATGAAATTTTGATACAAATGGACTCCCCATCGCGATATTCTGGATTAACCGTCTACAGGAACGCTTAAATCCAAACATTTGGCGACCAATGATGTTTTTAAAAAACTCAACTACTCAATTTCATGAACGTATTTCATATTTTACAAAACAATAAAAAAAACTCCGTATTCATCTGGTTTTATGGCAAAACGGACAATACCAGACAGGTACCGTAGATACACAGAAAAAAACATACATATGTATATTAAAACTATATAACCGAACTAATATGTACATGTATAAGGTGAATATTTCTATTCTGAAAGGTGGAATGACAATACAACTGTAGAAGTCAAATCATTACACGATGTTTTCCTTACATCTTTTCGAGGTAACGTATATACATTTCATCTTAATTATGTATCACGGTATGTCCAATTAACATAAGGAATATAGGAATAATATTTTGTATTTTAAATGGCATTCGTCAACATAGTTTAACCCAAAGAGTGATTGATGGCCCTAAATATCATCCATACAAACATATTAAAAAAAGAACATATTAGGAAGTGTTTACTTTCTGTCAAATTTCAAAAATATGTGCAGATTTTTTGCATTCTATCAATTTATATATGTTTACTGCATTTTCAGAAAGATACTATATATGTGTTACTACCATAAAATTGATTGACTGTCATTTACTGGAAAAGAAATGGCATTACAGTACTGTTTGACGTGTATTTACCGTAATGAAAATATCTACAAAAAAACCTACGAATCAAAAGTGCATCTGACGCACTTTTCGGGATTTGAAGTCATGATGACCTCACAAAGCCACATATGTAAAAGTCAAGACTGTATAAAAACCGACTGATGTGAATAGCTATATTACTAAAAGGAATCTAAAAAAGTATAGCCTTACAAAGTGATATATATTAAGTATGACGTCAATTTTTAGTCTACAAAATACTAGTTTTGTTTTCTACAGATCAAACACTAGGTAAAGGATGAACATTTGTCGGGGAAGTGCACGTGAATATGCCCAGGCTGACTTCTGTAAGAAGAGGGGCGATTTGATACTTTTTTTATTACACAGAGACGAATACGCTTGCACTTAAAAATGTATTTTCCTTTTTTTTTTTGTATTTGGCGTATATAGCTTTCTATCTATTTTAAAATATCTGATATACAACTCACCATCTAATATGCATACATAAGAACGAGGCAGAAACAAATCAAAACAGAATAATTTGTACTGCGATACATAAGGGAGGAAATGACATCAAACGGTCAGGTTTACGCATAACAAATCATAAGCCTTATAAAAATAAGGAGATGTGGTATGATTGCCAAAGAGACAACTATTCACAAAAGTTCAAATAAGGTGGATATAAGCAATCATATGCAACCATATGGCCTTCAACAATGAGAAAAACATACCGTATGGTCGTCAATAAAAGGCACCGACATGAAAAATATGAAAAAATTTAATTGAGAAAACTTACAACTTTATTTATAACATGTATAACAAAATAATTTACGAAAAAACAAATATGACAGACATGATCCAACGACTAACACTGAACTACAGACTCCTGACTTATGACAGGCACATAAAGAATATGACGGGAGTAAACATGTTTGTGAGCCCTAAACTGTCCTCTTAACCTGGGACGTGGTATAACAGTACAACGTTTTTTTTTTTGTTGCTTATTTTTGTATCGTTATTTGTATGTGCTGAACATGAAAAGAAGTTATTGTCAATTTTTGCAATATATAATTACATCAACATGCCTTGAGTGTGTAGGTAAAGGTAATATGTTTGGTTACCTTGAACCGTGAAATCATTATTAGGTTAGGTATACTACCCTCCTTTCGGAGTTGTCTAGTCCTACAGACTGATAGATTGGTTGTCTGTCGGACTAGTCTACTTTTAAAGGAAGGTAGTATACCTAACTTAATAATGACTTTACGGTTCAGCTAGCAAACAAGCTTACCAAACATATTACCCTTTACTACTCAAGGCATCTTGCTGTAAGATTGTTTTTTTAATATTAATCGCTTAATATCTTTTTCAAAATATTTCAAAATTTAAAGATGCTGTATGATTGTCAATCCTACAACTATTCACCAAGTAACGTAGATGCAAGCAACTAAACGCCACAGTGCTGCATTCAATTGTTTAATTGTTCAATTTTTTTTTCTGTGGCCTTTTTAGCATACTATACGGTTTAACATTTTTATTCATTGTTTAAGGCCGTCAATTTTTCTTAAATCGTAGTTATGTGGTCTCTATGATAGTTTTCTCAGTGGCAAACAAACCCTTTCATGCATATTATGTTAATCTGCTTATATACAATTTTACTTTCTGCCTTTGATACACCAACTGCTGTACTGCGAGTACACTACAAGAACATTAGGACAAACATCTTTTTAGACCAGCATGCAAGATTGCAATGAATAACATATTAAATGTTCATCTTAGATACCATTTCACTTGATTATAAAAGTGAAGATTTTATTGATATTCTATAAATTTTGTTTTAGACCTTACTAGGTCCAACTTGATGGAACACAAAGAAGAGTTGGCAATATTGATTATATTTTTATCGAGTAGGTATCACCGTTTTCTAGGCTATTATATTTAATCAAGAATAATAATTTAACAGACAAAACGATTGTGTACAAAATATATAGTCAAATTTCAGATATATCGCAACTCAATATGCAGGTGTATTCATAGCTCTGATTATTGTTCGGGCACTGATGATAGATTTGGATTCATTTTAGGGACACCATGTGGTTACTGTGCAAAATATTAATCTTATCACACTTAATTAAGCTACAAAACGTCGAAGTATTTTGCCGAAACCAAATTTTAAACAGATTTTTACGAGTACGTTGTTCTGTAAGCCTTGTTTTAAGGACGAAATGTCGTTTTGATTTTGAAACAGAATACGGAATCAATACTCCATCTCTAAATAAAAAAAAAAACCTAAATAAAAAAGCAAACAAAAACTTAAATCAAACAAACAAACACAAAGTTTAAAAATTGTGCTTGTATTTAGCATAAAAGCAGTTATGTAACGTCGTAGCCTGTTATGATGATGTTGTGTACAAGACAATGTTTTCATAACATTGGTTTGTGCTAAATAACGTATGATTATAGACCCTTGACAACTAGTCTCGAAGGGTTCAAGATTTTCTGAAGTTGAAACAAAATTGCTCGCTGTTCTAAAGTTACATAACAAACATATATTTCAATATCTTGCACTGTTAAAAAGTTTTGATGATAAGTAGTTTTGTAGACAACTGCACGAGTCCGACTGATACAAAATGAAAAGACACGTACTGAAAGAAAGAAGATAATGAATTCGAAAAAATAATAAAATCCAGCTGCCTGGAAAAAACACAAGAAAACTATTTGGAGCTATAAAAGGAATCAAAATATAAATGTACAAGTATCAAATTGATATAATTGTAATACGGTTAATGATGATTGTGTTAATGAAGATTCTTATATCATTTTTTAAGAGAAGAATGCTTTAATATGAATGCTTGTTATAAAAAGGTCGGTTTCAATGAAACTATTCCTTTGATGGGTATCCCTTCATGTTTGATATTAGCTGTTCTTTGACAGGTTATATGAAAAACGAGTTTCAGATTTCCTATACCATCACTCGTATACATGTCACATACATTAAGTTAAGTGATGTCTTATGATTGAGGGTTACAAACTTAATTGAAGGTATACATTGTTTATAAGAGAATGACATACAATAAGAACAATCTAAGCCACTGTTTCGAAAGTCAAACTTTGATTTTATGAATTTCAAAACCGTATGAAATTATTTTAATTAGTTTAACTTTCTAATTTGGGATGGAAATATCCTTGTATAGTGCTATCTTAGTAATCTATATTTCAGCAATGTCAGAACGTCATATATGCCCCTGATTTTGAGGATACCACTATGACTATAATGTCTACTTCATATGGAGATTTGTTTTGTCTTAAAACTGACAGAGATAGACTGCATTAATAAATAATCTAGGGCAAGCGTGACTTCTCTAGTTTCCATATTGTCAAATACCTATTGCCCTAAATTGTATATGGCCTCTTATATGATGATTAAATATCTCAGTTGATACATTACTTGTGTGCATGGTAACATTTATCAGCAAAGTTAAATGCACATATGAGCATATTCCATACAGACATGACGTCCATTTTCACTGAACTAGCATACATTTTTGTTTAGGAGCCAGCTGAAGCCCGCTTCCGGTTGCGGGATTTTCTCGCTGTGTTGAAGACCCATTGATGGCCTTCGGCTGTTTTCTGCCCTTTGGTGGGGTTGTTGTCTCTTTGACTTTGACATTTTCCCCATTTCCATTCTCAATTTTATGGTTTCGAGGACAAATAACTGATATCAATCAGTTTGTTTGATGGTCATCGTCACAAGTTTTAAAATTAATTAATACGATGCAATACGTATTTGTTAGTAAACACACTGGTGATTTGTTTTACGGTCTAAGAGCCTTAATGATATATTAAATGTTAAAAACCTGATATGTAATTTTAATTCAATTGTGTCCCATTACCTATCTGACATTTTACTAAATTTCGATTCATATGGCGGACGAAGTATACGCAACAGGAGACTCGCTTCCTGTCAACGCACTAAGTTTCTGTCCTTTTGACGTTTATGCAATTCACATTCTTTCCCTTTGGTTTGTGTATTTAAACTGGATTTAAGATTGGGACACAAGTTATAAAGTAGTGCTGTCTCTTAATAAATTAAGTTTGAAGGTGATACAAACAGTCATATATGCTTATCGGAAATATGTATAATTAAGAAGATGTGGTGTGATTGCCATTGAGACAGCTCTCCATTCCAGTCACAATTCAAAAAAAGGTAACAATTATAGGTCTAAGTACGGCCTTCAATTGGAAGTCTTGGCTCACACAAAAGAGCAATCTTTAAAGGGCCCCATACTGATCAAATCCATTTCAAGTATTAGAAAAACATGTTCAAGTTAATATCAATGACTTTGGATTAGTTCAGATGTCGTGAACATGCATTATAACTTTTTTATGTTTATATTTCAGTGCTTTTTGTATTGGGCATGTTCCGCATAGTTTGGGGATGCTCTTTAAAAACAATTCGTAAGTATTTGATTGTGCTTGAAATCATATTCGGTATATCAGTTTCAGTTGTGAAGTGTAGAACATATGGTTTAATTTTCACTGTTATATTTCATCATAAATCTCATCTTACCGAATTAATGCTAAAGCAATTATTTTGTATCAATGGTTCTGATTGGATGACAATCATCGTATACTTCTCATTCTATCTGTTGGTAACCAAGGAAATCCGACATTTTGTATTATTGAAGGTATTGAAATGTAATGTTGCCAATAATAAGTAAAATCAACCTTTTTTTTAAATTTCATTTTATTCTGATTGCGGCAACAAGCCAGAAAACGCCCGGTGTTTGCGTTTATCAGGTAAACTCAATATTAACGATAATAAAACTACCGATGGACGTCTGCAAAGCTTCAAATACAATACAGTTATCTCTTAAATTATCCACTAAAGAAAGAAAAGATAAATGTGACTCCAGTAGGTGTGCTTTCATCTACAAATATTAATTGCACAGATGCTCTGGTGATTCAACATTATCAACACCGTTGGGAACTGTGTGATACATATGCATTCCATTACGTCCTATTTTCATGATTGTCGCGAATAAACGTAGGTAACTTACGTATTTAAAACAAAAATTCAAAGAAATCCTGACCTTTTCTTTTCAAACGAACCTCAGAAATTCATGCAAAACAGCTAACAAATGCAGTTTGACTTTTTCTTTCCTAGAAAAGGCTTGATAACATTGTGTACATCGTCCAATAAAATTGTATTTAAAGGCATACATAACAGTGTGGACTAAATTAAATAATATGACATAAAGATACCCTCATCGGTTTTAATTTTCCTTTGAATGTGCCTCGTATCATTATATTCGCAAAGTATATGCATTACCAGTACCATATATGCTCAGTCAGGTTTCTTCCTCGTCAAAGTTATCTCCCCATTACGCAAAATAATATTTACAATCGTGAAAATAGAAGCTATTGAAGGGATTACGTGTTACCAATTAAGTTCTTGAAAACCGATAAATTTGTCCACATCGCACCATTACGATCCTTATATACCAGTTGTATTTTAAAAGACAAATGAATCTACTAGCTGTTGGGGATCATTTTATGTACTTTTCTGCAATTAGTCAACTTAAAACTACATTGTCTGATCGGTTGTCAGGTTGAATTTTCGAAAGTTCAAAAACATTCAAATAGATTCTTATTATATATTTAGGGCAGACTAGGAATTTTCAAAGGTTAAAGGAGCCCTAGAACACACACACACAAAGTGAAGTTTTTTTTAAGGTAATGCATTTTTTAGATCCACTTTGAATGTAAAGTCTGTCGTCAAGTACTTTTAGTAAAACATTCTTATTCGAACACACCCACTCTGTTGTTATGACTCCTAAGAAAGTTATTTCACTTGAACCATATATTTCATTTTTTATTTCTGTGGATTTTTCATGTTATTAAATCAACATATAGCCTAAATATTTAATTATAAAAGGAACTGAAGCGAGATGATGTATCAACATGATCAAATATTTTTGCTTTATATACTTTCAAGGCAGAACAGTCAACACAAACACACCAAAACATACAAAGGTGCACTCGACTTTCTCTTTTCGTTGATATTATTGTCCATTTTTAGGATTTTTTTCACAAAAAAAAATGTCTAAATTAATTCTTCAAAAAGATTAATCTATTATCTTTCTGTAATTTTTTTGGCGGAATTTATGCTTATGCACAAAAAAAATCCACTTCTATTTTTGCACTTACCACTATCAACTGTTTTATAAAAATATGTTTATAAATTAAAAGTATCGAAGCTGCTTCTATAATTTAAGTTAAAACACGTATATACAATGCATACAGTCCTAAATTATGAAACTTTCTTTCACTTTTCAAGCCAATAGAAACAGATGTGTAAACATTTCAAATATATCAGTTTGGCTTTTTCACCTTCTCTAACAAAAAATTCCATTTCGTTTTGTTAAATTTCAACTGGGTATCCCCCGGTGCTATTAATCAGATTGAGAATGGAAATGGAAAATTTGTCAAAGAGTAAACAACCCGACCAAAAAGCAAAACATATAAAACAGTTGAAGGCCACCAATGGGTCTTCAACGCAGCGAGAACATCCCGCAACCGGAGGCGGGCTTCAGCTGGCCCCTAAACAAAAATGTGTACTAGTTCAGTGAAAATGGACGTCATACTAAACTCCAAAACATATAAATGAACTAAAATTTAAACAACATACAAGACTAACAAAGACCAGAGGCTCCTTACTTGGGACAGGCGCAAAAATGCAGCGGGCTTAAACATGTTTTATGGTATCTCAACTCTCCCTCTATACCTCTAGTCAATGAAGATTAAACAAACACACAGCAATACGCACAGTAAATTTCAGTCTGAAAGAAGTCCGAGTCCCATGTCAGAATAGGTAACAAAAGAAACTATGCAAAATGACAATGATACATAAATAAACAAAGGACTACTAGCAGTTACTGACCTCAATTAAACTGATTGACAGATTATTTCTTCTTCATTTGTAAATCAAGCACAATCCCTCCCGTTGGGGGTTTAGTACCATATCATCATAAAATATATAACATAAACCGTATCATGCTAACAACTGGTTTTAGAATAAATGTGTTTATTTCCGATGCAAAGACCCTATGAGTATAAATTTAAACCAACATATTTAATTACCTGACAACAGTATCGTAATTATATCCACTCTGAATAAGTCTGTTTTTTTGTAAGCTATTGTGGTGAATGCCGACATTTTTGTGCTTTGTGAAGAATATTACCATAAAAGATCGGGTGTGAAATACCTGAAAGAATAAGATGTCTGCATGTTGATTTATATTTACGAATGATGTCCTTGCACCGATGATAAAAGTACGTTTAAGACGTCTGCATGTTGATTTATATTTACGAATGATGTCCTTGTACCGATGATAAAATTTAGTAAATGTGTTGACTAGTTTGTGATATAGAAAACCCTGGTGTAATAATTTTTCAGTAATACAGAGATTTCTTTCGTTAAAATCAAATACGTTGTTACATACACGAGCGAATAACCTGAATTAAGATATGATTTATTCATAAACTTGAGGAATACAACTTACCAGCAAATTGGATAGGTATTACATGATCTAAAAATGAAAAAGCTGCACAAACCGATAAAATATTGTCTACAGATTTAAACATATTACAGAAAAAGGAACATTATATATTAATAAGATGAAATATTTCGGCAAAACAATGGTCTTGTCAGTGACATTTAGTTTTCAAATGACATCATAACCCGAAAGTCCTTGCTGTTTTTAGGAGGGGGAGTTCTGTTTACCATGCGATTTATTAACTCATATATTCTATAATATTCAATTGCTTCATAATCCATTCGTGTACAAGTATTATTAGGAATCTACACTTTGTTTTGTAGATAATCGTAGGAAGAAGAAGAAATTATTTTTGAAAAAAGTTGAAAAAGAAATGGAAGAAAAAATAAAGGAAGAAATAGAAGAAAGAATAGAAAAAAGAATAACTGAATATAAACAAGGCTTGCACATTGAAAAGCTTCCTAACGGTATATATCTTTTAAAGTCACACATTGTCTATATCGTGGATTTAAAAAAAGACACAGGTCAATGCCCGTACAGAATGGTCATTTTGTATCGTGTGGATGATAAATATACAGATTAAACATGTTAAATAGAGATTAAATATGCTGAACAGTTTAAATATATACAAACTGGAATGAGAGAGGCCAACCTTTTGTATTAAATCTGTTTCTAAATTATGGATGTTATTTTGACCGATAAATCTTTTATAATTATTATTCACTTTAAACAGTTAATACATGTGCAACATCAACGCTTAAATTTTCAATAAGAGAGATAAGCATTAAAGAACATGCACACCAAAACAGCAATGATACACAATTGTAGTTGATATTGTAATCCTTTAATATATGTAAAAATGTTTTTTAACATTTAAGTTTTCTTTCTACCTTGAACATGTTGAAAATTTAGAAAAAAAGGTAAATTAAGATTAAAATTGCCATAATATTAATGTGTTTTCCAAACGTGCTCACTATAAGTCAAACCTGCCCTCATTTTCATTTTTCTAACCTTTTTTTAGAAAGACGTGACAATTGAAGAATATTCATTTTGTGTTTGTAAATTTAATATTTTGATGCGTTTACTTTATGTAATTGTTGACGCCTTGAACGAAATCTGATGAAAAATAATGTATAGTGAAAAACTGTTCCATGTTCTAAAATGTTTTTGTAGTGATGACTTTTCATTTTAAATTGTATTGCATCTAGTCGAATTTGATGAACATCTTATACTTGTTTGCGGAAAATGATCAAAGCCCAAAAACTTCCGTACAAATAGTCAACTCAAACGGACTGTATAGTATGCCAGGTGAATCTGGGGACAAAATGCTACTAAGTATGCAGTCTCTCTGTCAAACATATTTTAGGGAATAACGTTTTTCGAACAAACAAATGGACATACAAAGACCATTACCCTATCTCTGCATTGCAAGAGGAGGACAATGAAACACTTTCATGACTTAAAGTGCAAGATAATTTAACAATTTTAAACGTAATCTATAACAAAATCTGGATTGTTACGGATAAAAAGTATTTTTAGTGACATACATGCAGATTACGACTCATGATTTACTGATTCATAAAGTCGTAAAAAGTATTTATTTATAAATTAAAAGGTTAAAAGTTCCATTGGTTAAGCTAACAGTGACAAGCACGCCTTTTCTATCGACTAAATTGCGAACGACACTATCAAGATCTATACAAATACAACTTCAAATGTAAACAGGTAGCATACACAAGCAAATGTCGACGATGAAACATTGCTGACGTTTGCATTGTACAAATGAATCTTCGTATCATATTGTTTATATATGTATGGAGACTGACGACGGTGCTAATATCAAACTTCCGTCCAAATACACGCGTGTGTGCTTAATTCAAATTCATGTATTATTCTGCATAATCTTCAAAACAATGTTGAAAAGTATTTATTGAGATCCATAATTACCAATTAAAAACATATAGACAAAATTCACAATTAATTGTTTACCTTTTGTCGAATATGTCATTTCAAATGAGTGTGAAATTGCACTATGTTGCATGGCGGGGAGCTGCTTGAATACCATGAGAACACTCCCGATTGTGCTCATTATATATTTGCATTCAAATCCCGCAATTTTTATGTGTTACCTTGATCTTCTTTATCGAATTACCTAGATTGAAAGTCAGCACGGTCAATATGTCTTATACATGTACAAAGTACATTATACATTGCTATCGCAAATAATGTACATGACGTTTTGCCACGGGATGTTAAGTACCCACCAATCTGTGAAAAGAAACATCATACATGTAGATGTCATGACGTCAATAAATAACAGTTGACCTCAATATCATTTGAAAATGTCTAATATCTAGGGATAAATTCTACATTTCATAGATCTCAAACAAAATATCTATGTCGCCTTGCACTCTGTCACATATACAGTATATATATTAAGATCCATTTATTACATCGGTGATCCGTTTATTTGGCAATCGCCAATGGCAGTCAGCAGGGTTTAAGAATATTTGTTGTGCGACCTGTTAGTCAAATGCGTTTTGTTAAAATATACTTTTTCTCTTTTTTGGTCTTTTGGAAAATGTTGTTTGTGCTGTATTTAGACCCCTCTAACAAGAAATTTGTTTTGCATGCACACGTATAAAAATTGCGGTTTTTATCCAACGCAATCATAGGTTTGAACGTTGTTTCCAATTTAGGCTTGTTTATATTTTTTCGTTTGGGCTTGTATTATATTTGCCTTCGGGTTTATATGATCCGTTCATCCTATTTTTACTCCTCAAACGGTGACTTAATGAAAATGGTCATGATCAGATCATTACGAAGATACAAGGTTGTAGTACTAAATTAATGCAATCCATATGAGTCACTTTTTTTATGTATGCATGTAATTAGTTTGCCACTAACTTATTATTTTATTCTTAATTACGCCTTCAATTCCTGATGACTTGATGGGTAAAGACGAGGAAGAACTAAGACAGAAAAAAATAAGAGGTACTATTCAATATCTGTTATGGTTTTTTTATCTCGCCTGCGACAAAAGTCGTTAAATGCGAGACATAAGGATTACAAGCATGCGGCGGTGGCGACGGCGTAAACTTTTTGAATAAATATTTATATTTCAGAAGCAAGAAGAGCTGGATGCTTCATACCTTAAAAGCAGATACCTTTTGTCACGAAGTTTTCGTCGGTCATATATCCATTGTCCTTTAACTCATTTTCGTGGTTCAGAGACTGCTTAAACAATGACTATTTTTTTGGAAAAGCAAAATGCTCTCTTATTATGAGTAAATAAGATAATTATATTTGGTGTTTGTGTTTCTTGCCAGGTCTTCATGTCCGTTAAGTAGGGACCAACCGACCTCAACCTTATTCCTAGGATTAATGATCAAGTTAAAAGTTACGTGTTCAACTCCGTATCACAGATTCTATTAGCGGTATGTCAACTACATGTGTATGTTTGGTGTATGGAATGATCGAATTGTTAATATGTCCGACTGGTAGGTTCCATCTTGCCTTGACTGAATGTTATTGTTAATTGGATGATTTTTGGTTTTCGTAGTTTGGTCTTTTTCCCAAATACAATGAGCAAAAGGGCCACTATATTCGGTGTATGGAATGTGTATAATGTGTATATGACTGACTGGCAGGTTTCATCTGACCTTGACCTCATTTTGCATGGTTCATTGAACAATATTTGATCTTTGTGGTTTGGTCTATTTCTATATATAAGCAATATGTATATATTTAAGTCAAGTATATTTGGTTTTCCATTGCCATTTCCATTCTCAATTTTATTGGTGTATGAAATAATAGTAAGGTGTAAATGTCTGTCTGGAAGGTTTAATATGCCCTTGATCTCATGTTTCATTGGTTAATGTAACGATTTTGTAGTTTGATATGTTTCTCGCATACTTTAATCGATAGGACCACTATATTTGGTGTATGGAATGATTGTTGGGAGTACATGTCTGTTTGTCTTGAATGGTTTATCTGACTGTAACTTTTTTTTAAATTCATGGATCATTGATTATGTTGAGTTTATGTGGTACGTATATTCAAGTATAAATAAAGCAGGCAAGACATTTAAGCGTGTGCACTCTTGTTTTAATAGTGATTTCGTCGTTCATCAAACATCTTAAACATGTTGTGTTGTATCGTGTCGACATACATTCATATCGTTACATTACCGTTCATAACAAATATAATAGCAATTTGTAGAAAAATATGTCGAAGGGAATTTCTACGTAATTATATTTACACATGAACAAAAACTGTTTTTAAATTGATATTTGTAAACGGATAACTCTTTTGTTTTGCCTAAGATTATGATAATTTTAACTGACAGCTCATTTTTATCATCCAGATGTACATGATCAGCACATTAACGATTGGAGAATAGACGACAAAAAATTTGTTGTGACAACGGCGACACATAAAATATTAGAAATTCTACAGAAAGACAGTTGTGTTCTTACAGTTGGTCTTGCCGGAAATGGTAAATCCTCAATAATGCGTCATATCGCGTTGAAATTGAGAAGGCAAGAGCAATATGAAATCATTCCGATAGTGCTGAGTCCAGAAACTATGTTTGAATTTCTGAAGAGAAAGCGAAAACAAATATTTATTGTAGATGATTTCTGTGGAAAGGTGAATATCAATGCACAATCTGTAGATCTCTGGGTCTCACAAATTAATGAAATTCTTAATTGGGTAGAGACTTCTGATAAAAGTGATACCAAATATATTGCTGAAGTAAAATTCCTCTTTGCTACTAGGTTAAGTATTTACGAGGATAGCATTTTTCAAAAGCTCAAATTGCTGATGAAATATGTTTTCAAATTATCGGAATTTCCCTTGACAGACGACGAAAAACTTAAAATGATCAACAAATATATAACACGAGAAGCGGAGACTAAACTATTGAACAAATTGAAATCTGACGAGGCATATTTTCCTCTTTTATGTAAAATAGCTGAACGAAAAACAACTGATCAAATTATCCAGTTATTTAGAAATCTTAAAATGTTTATAAAACAGGACTTATTGGTTTTGAAACAAAACAACAATCTTCAATTTTGCACGATTACATTATGCGCATTATTGAATAATAACTTTAAAGAAGAAATATTAAACGATGTTTATGAATCAGACTTTGAAAGGCAGGCGTTCAAAAATATTTGCATTGAATTTAATTTAGGATCCAATAAAGACCTCGATAAAAGTAAAATTAAAGAACAATTACGGAATTTAAAAGAAATGTATATGACTAAAACGGAAAATTATTATCATTTCATCCATGCCAAAGTGTATCACATTGCTGTTGTGGTATGTGGTCAGACATTTCTTCATAGTTTTATCAAATACGTTCGAAGCTCATTTATTGCTGAACGTTTTTGCTTTCAATCGAAAATGGACGACAACAATAAAAACATTATTATCATCGATAACAAAGATGATAAAAAAAGATATTTTGACAGATTAATGTTTGATTTGGAACAAGGTGAAACGTATAGTACATTTCATAACAGTCAACTTAACAATGAATCATACAGGCGCGAATTTTGTGAATATTGTCAAAAAAGAAAACAAAAAGTTGGTGAGCTCTTAAAACAATTCAGTGTAAACAGTGATATAGATGAACATGATGAAACAGATGATGCGAGAAATTATAAAGACTACATAGATTTTACGAAACATCATCATTTCTTTTCTCACAAAATGCGAAGACCGTTAATTGAGTCTGCATGGGGAGGATACTCTGACATTGTTCAGTTGTTATTGGAGTTTAATTTCGATATCAATGAAAGTGACAAATTTGGAAGAACGCCTTTGTTCGTTGCGTGTCTTTTAGGGAAGGAGGGACATGAGGAAGTAGTAAATGTCTTGCTGAAAAACAATGCCGATCATTCACTGTGTGATGAAAACAAGCGGTCTCCATTATTGGTCGCTTCCAGAGAAGAAAACGATAGTATAGTTAAAGCGTTACTGCAACACAATGCCGATGTTAATCAATGCGATGTAAACGGTAATTCGCCATTATTAGTAGCTTCTTCTGACAGTCCCTTGTCTACTGTTAAAATATTATCAGATAAAATGACTGATTTTTCGAAATGCAATAATAAAGGACAAACGCCAATTTTTGTTGCATCAATCAATGGAAAAGTAGACGTTTTAAAACACCTCTTACCCTTGTGTAAAGTAAACGTTTCGAAACATGATAATGAGGGTAGATCGCCTTTGTTTATAGCCTGCAAAAAGGGGTATTCTGAAGTTGTGAATCTCCTTCTAAGTGATCATGCTGATGTGTCGCAGTCCGACTGGACTAAACGGTCCCCATTATTTATTGCGTCTGCCAAAGGATATGATAATATTGTCAACATTTTAATACAAAACAAAGCTGAAATAAATCAGTGCGACGAGGAAGGTAGAACACCATTATTTATTGCATCCGATAAAGGACGTACATCAACTGTAAAGATTCTTGTTAACTATGGAGCTGATTTAAACGCAACAGACCATAGAAAGTGTACTCCACTGTATGCAGCCTGTAGGCGAGGGTTTATAGACATAGTTCAACTTTTAAACGAAAATAAAGCTAACATTACACAGTGCAATAAATGGAATTCATCGCCTCTGTTTGCGGCATGTAGACAAGGTAATTTAGATATTGTAAAATACTTGGTCGAAAACGGAAGTGATATTTCTGGTTCGGATTATTCTGGGAACACTCCTGTGACAGTAGCTAGCGAAAACGGAAATACTGATATAGTAAACTTTTTGATCCAGAGTGGCGCTGATTTAAATCAGTCTGATCAATGTAAAAATATCTAGGTTCATCTGCTGCTGAAATACACGCAGCTGTAGTAAAATGTCTTATAAATAAAGGAGTTCTTTCAAGTTTAACCAACAATGACATTCAAACACCTCTAGATTTAGCTCGTAAACACTCCAACACAAACATTGTAAAACTACTACTTTCCAACAAGTGATCAATCATTATCGTAAATTACATCAAATATGTTTAAATCTCTATCAGGTTTGCTTGAAATTAGAAAATATTCAAATATATACATTTGTGTGATATTTAGAAATATTCCCTTATTTAGAACTATCATCTTATATGTTATTCGAACGTTCATCATGGGTGTTTTAAGTGTGTCATATAGAATGATGAAATGAATTTAATAAGATGAATAGTCATTGTTTTTTTTTTCTTAGCATAAATAAAACATTTGATGCTTCGGAATGACCTTAGGTCTCCACACACAGCATGCCTATTCCATCGCAAAAATATATTTAAGGATATTAGGAATAATGTTATTTTTAAAAAAGCACTTGATTTGTAGACAATTTCACAAATTGTTTATGCTTTCTGTTGTTGTGAAATTGAGAATCGAAGGACATCGTTAATCAAAATGAATAAATTAAGATGTATCTGCAAAACAATAAATATCAATATTTCATACATAGTGTCGGTGTTGGTTTATAATGTTCTTCCTATCCTTATTTTCAAAAACTGCATACATATACCGAATTCTATCAAAATTGCTGTTCTAAGCATCTTCTAGGCATTTATAGTTTGGTCATATTTACAAACATGTACTTAAATGTTAACTAAACCTGATAACTCATATCTGTTATACAGCAAATATTATGAAACATTATCCTTGTATGAAATTACTACAGGGGAAATAAACCTTCCTCTTTTATCAAATATGGTATTTCAAAATTGAGTCTAAACCAAAACATGAATTATTACAGTGTTTTCAAAGGATATTTGCAAACAAATATAGCGTAATTTGCACATGAATTGATGTTTCCGCTTGTCTAATTGTTGCATGAAAAAACAAACAAAGGAACAAAGTAGATGTGGTGTTGTTGCCAGTAAGACAACTACTTTAAACCAACTTTTTGGCGAATACTTTATTTCGAGTTTATACCTTCAAGCAGACTTTGGGTCGATTTCTTGTCACGATTTTCTAAGTTAATTTATTTTTTTACTATAAATAGTATGGGAAGATCCAAGTTTTGAATATTGACAAAGATTTGTATTCGCCTTATTGTTCTTAACGCAAAAGTCGCGGGAATAAATCGCTCGCGAAATTAGGCTGGTTTGAAGACTAATCTATAATAGATTAGATAAATGTGAATAATTTAAAATCACCGTAAGGCCTTCAACAGTGAGTAGACTTTCTACCCTATCGTGAGCTATGAAAAGGCCTGGTATGATAGTTACCAAAACAACTCAAAAAAGAAAACCAACGGCCTGATTTATTCAAGGAATGACTGTAATTTTTTTTCTGTCTATGAAGAAATAACATAAAAATATGGTTCACACTGAATAACCCGCGTAGCGGTTTATTTAAATGTGTGCGCAACATTTTAGGCTATTTCGAATAGACAGGAAAAATACTACAGTCTTTCCTTATAATTTGATTCTAAATTCCATGTTTAAGGAGTAAATTTTGAAATAAACGTTGATGACGTCACTGTCACATGACAAAATTATGTCTATCAGCTGATAGACAAAACACTTTCAGCCAATCAGAAGACGTGTTACATCCAAAATTAAATTATTCTCCAATAATAAATGAAAAACAATTATAGTGGACAGAAACAATAATATGTCAAAATGTAAACCTTTTCAAACGAGAAAAACAAACGGTGTGATCTATGTACACAACGATAATTGATAAACAAAATATTATGATAAATGCAACCAACGACAGTCACTGAATTACGTGCTCATTACTTGGGATAGGAAATTCAAATTATGGCGGGTTTAATATGTTTATGAACGCCAAATCCTCCCTTAACCTGTGACAGTTGTGTAACAGCACGGTAATTATAAAACATGAATTGATGATTCAGTTTTTCAGAATAGTAATCGTTGCGTCTCTACATTTTTCTTTCGTCTGTAGTTTTTGGGTAGTAAATCTGGATACAATGATTTTGAAGTAATTTTTCTTTTCTTGATAAAATAATATTTTAGAACCTTTTTTAATTAAAACGTTCATGTTTCATTTCCATCCCAGACGTCTCAACAAGCAACAGCAATTAATTCTTTAAAGTATCAGACATACACATGCGGCTTTTATAATGAATGCAAAACACAACTTTACCTTTAAATATTTACTGTAAAGATAGATGTCTAGTTAAAAAGAGATTATCCCATTTTTACCATGCGCGATCGCCAGTTGCAAATTGTTCCTAATAAACGTCTGTTACTTTCGTTTATGCTTAACTGTTGCTTAAGTTATCTCGCTTCACTTGGTGTCCTTTAATGTCTTACGACGCTATCTTAACTTTATACCAAAAGCGTCAGCATAACGATTTTAAAATCTCTAATATATATGACAGCTGAGACTTTCCATTTCTTCCAATTAATTGACATTAACCTTTTTGTTTTCCCTGTCATTAATGTAATTCTATCCAAAAAGTCATAATTACATGAGGTGAAACAAATTTGTACGGTTGCGGATGTTTACGCAAAAAACCTGTATTAAATGTCTGAAAAAATAAACTGTCGTTCCATCGTATTGAAGTCAAATATGTCTTCAGGATGTTAAAGTCGACAAGACACATACGAAAAGTAGATACATTGATTGATTAATTAATGTTTGCGAAACGTCCAGTGGAAAATATTTCAAACATATATATATATATATATATATAAATAAATATATATGCACAACGAGAAAACTTAACAATGAATTTAATAGGTAGGATTGTCATGATAGCAGACCAAGCGCAACTTAAGGCGGTAAATTTGATGTATTTTATGGTGAATGTTTTGCAGATTATTTTGTATTTAATCTTTCTATTTTTTTTTCTTTACAGGCATTATTCTGATTCATTAAAAAAATAGTGAAAACACATCCTAAAGATATTTCGGAAGCCCCATATGTCAGAATTAAAAATGGGGCTGATTGGTGTACATCAATGAGACAACAAACCAACGACAACATAAAAGCAAAAATATAGATGTCAAAACTTCAGAAGTGGATTGTTACAGAATTATATACACTGTTATACGAACCAATGTTGATTTTCATATATATTTTTCTCTCGTGGAATGAATTGAATTCAACTAGGAATATACATTAAATATTGTAGTATTAATTAATGGGTGTTTTCATAATGGCCCTGTTAGATGTCCACGGTCTGTTATATTAGTCGAGGATGTCTGTAATGGCACGAAGCAACAGGGGTTATTTGAAAACACCGATTTCTTAACACTCTTATTAACTAAACCGTCAATGTGTAATATTTAACCGAACCAAATCAGTTTGTTTTTTTTTTAAATTGTAAATATATATATATATATTTATATAATTCGTCTACATAACAGCCCAACAATGTAAGATCTGTAAATTTGCGGAAGCAAATTTTTTGTTCTTCCCTGGCCGGGATTCGAACTCATGCTACTGAGATATCGTGGCACCAAATTGCCTTGCACTATGCCCGGCGTGCTTGACCACTCGACCACCTAGGCTCGATAAAATCAAGCTTTTGGTGGCCTGGTGTTACCTTTCCTCGTCAGTTTTTATCTAGCGTCGTAATACAGTACATGATATATAAGGCATGAAGATGGAGTATAACAAATCAGCTGAATTAACTATCGTAGAGGATCTTACAAATTAATGTATGATACAGTCACAGAAATAATTATATTATAAGTACGTCTGAACCAGTGACAACTCTACGACAGATTTTATCCATCGGATCACCAGTGATGGTGATACAAGGCTGAAAACATATTCTGTATATATAATTCGTCTAAATAACAGCCCAATAATGTTAGAACTGTAAATTTGCGGAAGCAAAATTTTTGTTCTTCTCTGGCCGAGATTCGAACTCATGCTACTGAGATATCGTGGCATCAAATCGCCGTGCACTATGCCCGGCGCGCTAGACCACTCGACCACCAAGGCTAGATAAAATCAAGCTTTCAGTGGCCGGGTGTTACCTTTCCTCGTCAGTTTCTATTTAGCGTCGTAACACAGTACATGGTATATAAGGCATGAAGATGGAATATTACAGATCAGCTGAATTATCTATCGTAGAGGATCTTACAAATTAATGTAGGATACAGTCACAGAAAAAAAATATGTTATAAGTACGTCTGAACCAGTGACAACTCTACGTCAGATTTTATCCATTGGATCATCAGTGATGGTGATACAAGGCTGAAAACACATTCTGTATATATAATTCGTCTAAATAACAGCCCAAAAATGTTAGATCAGACGTACTTATTATACCAGGTTTAATATAAAAAAGAAACTTTTAAATAAATCTGATTGATAAATATGTAAATGTAAATATAGTGTTATTGTTGTCCTATTCAAAGCAATGTATTGCATACACATTACAGAGGAACATTCAAACTCATAAATCGAAAATAAACTGACAACGCCATGTCTCAAAAAGAAAAAGACAAACAGACAAACAATAGTACACAAAATACAACATAGAAACCTAAAGACTAAGCAACACGAACCCCACTAAAAACTGGGGGGTGATCTCAGGTGCTCCGGAAGTATAGGAAGATCCTGCTCCACATGTGGAACCCGTTGTGTTGCTCATGTTAGTACAAACCCAGTAACAAGTCTAATTCGGTTGGTCACATTATAAAAAGAGGACGGGATTGTAGTTACGACATTAGGAACATATCCACTGTCATCTGTGAAACGGATATTCCATAACGGTCAACTCGTGATTGCGTCCGTAAAATTTACGAAGGGATGATTTCAACTTCACCATTTGGAACTCTTGGTTTAAAAGCTTCCTTGTGAGCAGCAACCTTCTATCAAGGAAATAATGATATGAAATTCAAGCCCGGGAATATCGTATCAATTGGGAGATATATACTCCGTATGCAGGCGTTGCTGGAATGTTGCTACATAGAAATGGAAAGTTCACAATTGTGAAGCTGAAATCATCTCTTTTGTTGTAAAGTTTTGTTTTCAACCGACCCTCATTGTCAATTTCTAAATGTAAGTCAAGATATGAAGCAGACTTAAGTGTAGCTGCTGTATCCTTTATCTCAAGTTCGATGGGATAGATGCGTTCAACATAGTCAGCAAATTTTTAATTATTTAGTGAGAGAACATCATATATATAGCGGAGAGTAAAGTTAAAGGATACTGCTTACTTCTTTTCTTTATTCCTAAGAAGTTCCTGTATTAGGTGTAATACCACCATTGATTTTCCCCTTTTAGTGTTTGTTGAATTTGCACTTTTCAAAAAATTGTGCAGAATTTATCTATGTTTCAAATACAGAAATACTTGTCATGAGTAAAGTTTTATCCTGTCCGGTACTATAGAAAAAATTTCACATAACATTGCATTGCATATAAGAAAATAACAATCACTCAAATGTTCACCTCATTTTTACCTGTGTACAGGCTTTAGTAACCATGTAACCTCAAGTTTCCAAAATATTCTATAGAAACACCAA